GTTAGAGCCACCTACACATTCAAAGTTACATTTTAGCAAGAGAAGCGCAAACAGCAAGTCGATGATGGTTATCTTCCGCCGTCAGTTCCTTACACCAATCTCAACAATCCTTTCAATGATCCAAAGCTGAGCGACACTTTTGTTTGGAAGAAGAAATTGGACACTGAGGGACGCGGGGATATCAAAAAGAAAGATCTTGAAAGAGAGTAAGTTTTTAAAGCAATTTAAAACTTAATTTAAGAAATTAAAGAAAAAAGTTCTTGTAGGTTTTAACTTTTTTTCTCTTTAGAACCAAAGATCGTGTACGGAAAAATCTCTACGAAATGGAGGAGCTAAAAAGAAATCGAGATGCTAGACTTGCTGGTATGTATTTTTTTCTCAAAGATTGTTAAAGGAATTTTTTTGGTGCACATACATTTTTGACAAGAAAAAGAAAAGATTGATTTTATTACTGTGCATTTTTTATAGCTCGAGAAGACTACGATATGATCAAACGAGACCAAGAAAAGGCAATGTATGGAGATTGGGATAAAACCGAAGCCGATTTTCAACTTCAGCAAGCAAAGGTTGGTTTTGTACTGTGCTTAATAAATCTTAACTAAAATTTAGGTTCGCTCTCAATTAAGGATAGAACAAAACCGTGCAAAACCGATCGATCTTCTCATCAGGTGAGTTGCATATTTGGCTAAGTATTATCATTACCTAAAGCAAACTTTAGAACAATTACTTTAGATACATCGATTACAAAGATGAACCAACAGAAGTAGATAAAACTGGAGACAAAGAATTTGAATTAGAAGATCCTTTCAAGTAAGTGGATAAATAACTATGATTTAGCAAATTAATATTTAGATATATCCGAAATTTGACAATTGACGATTATGAGGATCTATTCGAGGATATCAAGGTGTGCAGGAAGATTGATGGAATCAAAAATGCCGACTTTTGGGAGGACATCATCACGGTAAGAGCTTGAAAAATCAGTTGATACCGTATTGTTTTAACAACTAATGTATTCTATCCAAAGCTGAATGCTCTGCGTAGTTGTCACATTCTGAACTCTTTAAAAACAAATTTCGGCTTGGCACTGCTAAAACAAAATTTTTAGATTGCCAGTGACGAACTCCGACGCGCAAAAACCTCCAAAAAAGAGGCGCCCACTCAAGTGGTTCAAGGCGACATTGAAAAAGTTTACAAGGTATGTAAATAACAATAAAACTACCCATTTCAACAATTTATTCCCACCGAGAACACTGCTTTAAAAAGAGAAAAAGAATTAATATCCAAGAAGTTCTTAGCAAAACAAACGATAGCATAAAAAGTGTTCTTTGTAGAGATTCGCCTTTTTTTCTTCAGTCAAGTTTTGGGGCTTCTTGAGCGATTTTCTCCATGATAAATCTAAAAAGCAACGATACAACATAATTTATTCAAATGTACATTATATTTTATGCTACTGAATAGAGCACCTTGGAAGCTCGCTTTCATTGGGATCACGCTCAAAGTCGAGATTGTCGTCGAGGCTCTTGACACCACCAACCTAAGCAGAACACTTCATAGACAGTTGCATGCTTAAAAAACGGACTTGCTCGGCGATTCGAGTGCAAAAATCCTCGATCTCAGTGTAGCACACCTCGGGTACATAAGGCGAATTATTTGGAAGAGCCATCACAAGCTGGTACAACTCGGTGTAGCTATACAAAAAGTGTTGATGTGTTGATGCAAAGAAATCATTTACACAAAAGGAAGTCCCTTGACAAGGGAGACATCACGCGAATACGAAGCTTTGATCTCCTGAATCTCGTCAGTGCGTTTTCCACTCCAGGGCAACTCGCCACGAACCAGCTCGATGAATAGGTAAAGCCATGCCTCAATGTCATCACGAGCATGTATGTTGTCTAAACAAATCAATGAATGGAGTTCACGAAAGATCAATTGCCTTTCTGCAAAGGTGCATAGTGCAGACCACCAGCCCAAAGCACGGGTACATCCCATTCCTTTTTGCCCGCATCGGCGCGAAGGGTCGAGAGGTTGCTCATGAAGAGATTTCGGCTAGCCGCATCAAAATGGAACATCTCCGAGTCCATGCAACGAACCAGCATGTTTTGCTTGTGAACCAAATGGATGCACTAAAAAAGAAACAATCAATAAAAAAGGAGATACAGTAACCTTGAAAATGTCACGCATAAGTCGACCGGCAGATCCATGTGAGAAAGTACGGTTTTTCATGAAGTCGCGCACTTCTCGGAAACTTGGGCCACCTCTTAACAGCAACAATTAAATGTTTACGTAACGCTACAAATTACCTGTGGTAGACCATGTAAAATGCGTATCCGTCGGCTTGCCAGGCGCTGTGAAGCTGGGAAAAGTGAAGCCATTCGCCAGTTGCCTCAATCTAAATTGCAAAAGTTTGTTACAATATGGTGAAAATAACAAGTTAGTAAAGTACAAACTCCCAACCTTTTTGAGGAACTCAAATTCCTGAGTGACAATTCGGGCCGGAGTCTTTTCAACGCGAAGCACCAATTCCTTGTCATGAACCGTAGCCAAATAGGTTCCACCAACGAGGTCGTCAAATCCGATACGCTCGTAAATCTAATCAAATCAAAAATGGAGAATCAACAAGAACTTTTTACCACGCATTTGAAGTGATTGCAGTCATCCATGAGGAGATGGTTTGGAAGGTAAACGGGCACATCGTTTACTTCAATCACCTAAAAAACGATGTATAAATGTCGATTGTAATTAAACGAACCTTTTTCACCGTGGGTCCCTCTTCTTGTGATGAAACTTTCGGCTCATCGGTGTTTGGATTGTTGATGGTAGGCGGGTCGGGTGGTGGTGGTTGATCGTTGCTCAATGCGTGCGCAGTTTCCAGCAAAGGCAAGTTGGTTGCTTCTTTTTCTTCAACGCTCAACTTCTAAATGACAAAAAAATTATTAACTTGGTGCAAAACAAGGGGTACCAATCAATCAGGTTGTCACAGAAAACATTTTTCTAGCTTGGGGAGAAACAAAACAAAGAGTGTATAAAAGCTAAAAAAGGTCACCTCATTCCTGATACCGAAAGATCCGATGAGAGCCGCCATTTCTTCCTTGATGAGATGATGAAACAATTTGAGTAAAACCTTTTCGGTCCATCGGAAAGTGGCTAAATGCTAATTTTGTGGTTTAAATGTTGATTTTTCAAAAACGCAAATTAACTTTTCTTTCTAGGGAAAATCCTTGGATGCGCTCTATTCCCTGAAGAGGGACATTGAAAAGAAAGTGAATCAACGAGGAACCACCACAATCATCTCATATTGGGAAGAATTGCTTAGACAACTCACTGTACATATGTCCAGGTAGGTCTTATCTGGGTATTTTTGAAGTTGTTTCGTGTAGGTTACGACTTCGAGATCTCCACAAGAGGATGCTTGAGCTCAAGTTGAAAAGAATAAAGGAAAATATGAAGGACGAGGATGAAGAAATGCCGGAAATTAAACCCTACTCGAAAACGGTTCACGAGGAGAGAGAACGCAGCAGAAGTAGAAGCCTTTCGCCGGGCACGTCGGCGCATGAAAAATGGAATCGACCAAAGGTGAGTAATCTGAGAGTTCATGAGACACTAATCGGATTTCATTTCTAAATGATCAATTTTTAGGTGAACCTTGGCTCACTTGAGGATCCAGATCTTGATGAGCAAGAGAAAGAGGCCAAATGGAAGTAAGTTGCTTATTTATATGTAAAAGAAAAATGTTTCTTTTAGACAACTTCTTCCTGATGAGCTCGAAGAGGCAACGGTAGAGCTTTACGAGCGAGGTGGCTATTCTCCGACGTATGGAGATCCTGATGATGCTATGCCTGGAATTGAGGTTGATACTATGCAAAAATAGGTAATAAAATTTGTTGATTCAGGTTTTGAATGAGGACGATGATAAAGCAAAGCTTATTTCTCGCCGTGAATCACAGCGCAAGAAGCCGGAAGGAATGAGTGTAAGTTTTAAGCGTTATTTTCATATAAAGTCAAGTTTTAGGAATCAGAATCGGAGATGATGGCAATGGCCAGAAAGGGAATGGATAAAGACGAAGGAACGTTTAGTGTTGAAGTGCCGATCGAAGCTCAAGTACGCTAATTTTAGTTGATAGGCTTTAATTGCTTTTTTAGAAACATCTCTGGTCCGACAAGTATCGACCAAGAAAGCCAAGATACTTGAATCGAGTACAAACGGGCTTTGAGTGGAATAAGTACAATCAGACTCACTACGATATGGACAATCCGCCACCAAAAGTCGTTCAAGGATACAAATTCAATGTAAGGCTTTAAGTTTAGTGTATCAAATTCAAAATATTCAGGTTTTCTATCCGGATTTGTTGGATATTACGCAGACGCCCTCCTTCAAGATCTTTTTGGATCCAAATGATAACGATTTCGCGACGATCCGTTTTCATACTGGCCCACCATATGAAGACATTGCCTTTAAGATTGTGAACAGAGAATGGGATGTGAGTTTGTTTCAAGCTTTTCTAAAAAACAAGAAGTTTACCGTATTACCATTTACCGTAATTTTCGATTCTTCTTGTTTAGCTCCTCCACAAGAACGGATACAAGTGTCAATTTCAACAGGGCGTATTTCAACTGTGGTTCATGTTCAAGAAATACCGTTATCGTCGTTGAGCTTATAATGCGTAAATTTATTGTTTCATTATTTTTTGTTGCGGCTGATGAGGGAATAAATATTTTTGATCGAAATCAAGGTGCTAACCAAGGTGCTAATCAAGTGCAAAGCATTACTTTGGGTTTTGGTGATTTTGTCTTTTTGGGTCTTTGAGAGCACAAAGTGAACACGTTTTTTAGGTTTTCGACTCTGTAAAAATACATTTTATTTTATATCAGACATGCTAAGTTTGTTTTCAGATGAGTTTATGGAGTGATTTCGTGCACTTATTCTTCACCGTCAATGGGAAAGGGTAAATAATGCTTTCTGTTTTGCTTCATATTGTATTCTTTTAGATTAGCGATTACTGGATTTTTGTTATTCATCGCCGAAACGGTCATAACCTACGGGATTATTCAGAAAGTACCTTGTAAGTTTTATAGCTACTCATGATTGGATGTTTAAAAGTTTCATTTTTTTAAATACTTGAACAATACTTAAGAAATTTGTTCCTAAATTTTTAAATAATACCATATATACACGTGTCTAATTGTAGTTGTGTTTGTATATCAATTATCTTTCTTCGTCTACGCTGTTCAATCTGTTTGCATTGTCACTTTTCCTTGTCGGATAAAGTATATATATAAATTGACGTGTAAAAAATTATCAATTATCATGTAAAGTTCAGCATTTTAGATACGGAGATTGATTGGTCGACTTACATGCAACAAGTTGAATGTTTTGTGAAAAAACATGAACTCAACTACTCGAAAATTGAGGGAGATACAGGTCCTATTGTGTAGGTTTAAAAATTTTTAAGTTGATCTACTAACGTTTTAGATATCCCGGTGGGCATTTAATTGCGTATCGAATGTTCTACACGTTGACAAATAAGGGGAAAGATCTTCGACTGGGGCAATATATTTTCATGGTTGGTTTTGTTTGAATTGTGCATAGTATTTGGCGTTTAGTTTCTTTACTTGGTCAATTTACTTAGTGTGTTTCGTCTTTATTGGAAGTCGAATAAGGTAAATTTTGAGCAAATCTTTTATTTTAATCTTTAAAAGACGGACAATAATGATATTCGGTCTTATTCCGTTTTATTAGAGCTTTACAGTATTTTTATTTATGTTTCAAATTTTAGATGCCTCCATTTGTGTTGTGTTTATTGACATTGACAGGATATCGAATTCACTGTATGATATTTTGTTATTTCATCGTCGTTTGGTTACTTTTTACTAACAGATAAATTTCAGCGATTTTCGTCCTTCGTATGTTCAACGATCCCGTGGCCATGATGCTCTTCTACATTGCATTGAATTTTCTCATTTCACAACATTGGTTGCTTGGAGCTCTATTTTATAGGTTGAGATTTAAATCTAAATATTTTCACCATAGATTTTAGTGCTGCTTTCTCGATTAAGATGAACATTTTCTTGTATACGCCGGCGTTGGGATGTCTTTTATTGTTGAACAAAGGAATTTGGTGGACGATTGTTTATGGAGCTGCTGCTGGGGTTTTACAGGTAAAATGTTAATAAAATCTAGGTGTAAGACCTAATTTGAACTGATCAAAGCATTACTGATTGCAAGTCAAAATAATCACTGAATTATTGTGAGATTTTCATTTTAGTTCTACGTTGGCCTGCCATTTCTTCTACACGATCCATGGTCTTATATCAAGCGATCCTTTGACATTGGACGAGTATTCTTTTTCAAATGGACCGTCAATTGGAGGTATTGTTGTATTAATGAATATTTTAATATTTGTTTCAGATTCTTATCAGAAGATTTTTTCTTAAATCAATACTTCCATCTGACACTATTAGTCACGATGTTGGTTCTCTGGCTGGTGTTCGGATTTGCGATGTGGTTCAGGTAGTGTTGTATACTGTACCTAGTGTGATTATTCGTTTTTAAATCTCACGGCGGATTGTATTCTTCTTTTGCCGAGCTTCGACGAGGAATTCGTACAAGAACCGGTGTCGCTGGTAAGTTTACAAAATCAAGCCTGAATATAGATTTTTCAGATACAATGTTTGCGATGTTTACGTGCAATCTGATCGGAATTGCGTGTGCCCGTTCGCTTCACTATCAGTTTTATTCTTGGTATGTTGCAAATGTTTTTTTTAAAGTAAAGTTAAATTTAGGTACTATCATCAGCTCCCGTTTCTTCTTTTTTTTAATTATCCTGCTCCAGCTGATACCAAAGCAAATTTTAATGTGCCTTGGATTTCGATAATTTGGAAGTAAGTGGATTTTATTGGCTGAAACACTTTTTTGTCTAGAGTTTTGGTCTTGCTCTGTGTGGAATGGTGTTGGAATACGTACCCTTCGACAAATGCTTCATCTTTAGGTAAATTTTGTAAATGCAGTAACATAGGTTTGCAACTATTTAGTTACGCCTAGGTAGGACGGTGAGAAAAGCCTTTCATTATTTAAAACCATTTAGTGTTGCATCTAATTCATTTCGGGATTCTTGCCTATTTGGTCTACACTCGGCAAATGCACATCAAACGCAAGAATAAAGTCATGTAAAAAGTTGTTGTATATTTAAATTATCTTATTTATTTTTATTGAATAGTTCTTTTGTTATGCATTAAATTTTTAGATTGTTGTTTTTTCCTTAAGCTTATGCGGGGATTTCATTGTGATTCAATTTTATGGTTACTTATGCCTGATAAATGTTACTTATTGTGGTATAGTTGTTTGCGGATTTTGTTTGCAGCAACGTATCTTTATTAAAAAAATTTTTGTTTAATGATAGGTATTTTAGAAGCAAAACTTTGATGTTAAGGACTTTCGTACGACCCATACTTCAATGTCGTTCACAGACCTCATCGAGTGGAACTACAGAAGCACTTTTGGCGCAAATGAGGGTAGGCTACCGTAATCATGTCTTTTTGTGATTAACTAGATTTTAAACTAATCATTGTTTGAGCTCTTAATTTTGAAGACAAACCCTCGTAGTAGCTCAACTTCTATCACTTACTTCAGATATTCGATCGCGAACTCAAACAAAAACAACGCGATTGGGCCGTTCAACAGCCAAACTATGTGGCGGCGACCAGTTTAAGAGAAGAAATTGGATGGAGGATTGCGGATAAAGTAAGTTGTTACCTATTGATTAGGTATTAATTGATTTGTTTAAGGTCTTTGATCTAACAAAAGTTAACGAGAGGGTGCTTGACATCGGTTGTGGGACAGGTTTTATAGCGCCTCATTTGATAAAAGTGGGTTTGGTTGAACGGGGTGTATTCTCAATTTGAGAGATTTTCCTAAATAGCCCTATTTAGTTGGATATCACAAGAAAATAACATTACATTGAGCTTTTTTTCATAAACATATTCCAGGAAAACGTCCGTCATCTCGTTCAGTGTGATATTAGTGAGGAAATGGTGAAACGAAGCAACGGTTGCTTAGATGAAGGGGTATTTTTAGATGCTAACCTTAATTACATGTTATTAGTCATGTTACATTAGCTGCTGTGAATGGAATGTAGGTAACGGTAGAAAGAGTTGCGTGTGATGAGGAAACACTGGCTTCATTTGCACCGGCATCATTCGATTTGCTGTTAAGCTCCTTATCCGCACATTGGATCAACGATTTGCCAGGATGGTAATTAGTATCCAATTTAAAAATTATATCAAATTATTTAGGTTTAGACGATGTTTTTCATTATTAAAAGAAGATTGTCCTTTCATTGGATGTATGTTGATGGAGGATACGCTTTACGAGTTGAGATGTTCGTTACAGTTAGCGGAGGTGGGTTTTCAAGTCTGTTTAGTCTACAGTACCAATTATTGTTTTGCTTTTCAGCTTGAACGATTAGGAGGCGTCGGAGCGCATATTTCTCCATTTGTGAAGGCAAACGACGTTGGTAGTCTTCTTGGAAAAGCCGGATTTGAACTAGTGACGTTAGATACCGATGATGTACAGGCAAGATTTAAGATGTGTTACTTGACTAAGAAGACTTTAGATAGGATTTCCAAATATGTTTGCACTACTTTACGATCTGCAATTGATGGCAGAGTCTAATTGCACTTACAAGTTGGTTTCTTTTGGGCTTTTTATAAAAGATTTCTCTAGACGATCATCAAGTATACGAAGGGATGTGCTGTTAGCGGCGGAGGCAATTTATAAAGTAAATTTCTTCCTTTTCAACTATAGTAAGTTCAAATTGTTGTAGTCGATGTACGCGAAGGATGATGTTTATCCGGCGACTTTTCGAATAGTTTCTTGGATTGGATGGAAACCAGGTGGGAAATGCTCTTGACCTTAGAGCTCGAGCTAAGCTTTACTTCATTTGACATCTAAATCATAGGTCCGAATTCGCCAAAGCCAGCAAAAAGAGGCTCACAAAACGCCTCATTGAAGGACATCTCAAAGATGGTCGAAGATCCCGAATATCAGAAGAAGCTATCAGAAGAGCACGACAAGAAAAAGAAATGAAAAATGTAAACAATTAGATTGTAGAATAAAGATTTATTTGATGAAGCTATGCTTTTCTGAGTCTAGTTTTGACGATCTATCTAAATCTTGCTCTGAACTGCGAAGGATAGTTGTGGAAAAGATTTTACCCACTTTTGATTTAGCATGGCTCCTCAGGGTACAAAGAAAATCGACCCGGCCAAAGTCGATACTGCCTGGAAAGTTTTACAAATGGTAAGTTTTAAAAATTGCAGTCTATTCTAATGGAATTTAGAAAATGCGAGAGGAGAAACCAAATGCCGCGGCGACATCAAAAACGACAGCTCCGGTAATTTGTAATTTTTTTGAATGTCCTACTTTTGCATCTTAGCCAAAAGTAAACGCGAGAAAGCGAAAATTTGCAATGGAGAAGGCAGAAGCCGAAAAGCGAGCAAAACTCGCACAAGAAGAGGACACAATCGTCATTTCAAGCAATAGAGACAGGTTAAAGCTCAATGTAGTAATATGGATTTGAGATTGAGATTTGAATTTGAGTTAATCCTAATGCGGTTTTAGTTGTTGAAAGCCAATATCTTTGTTTTAGTGGTGCTCCAACACCGGTGATGGCTCTTGATTGTGGTTTGTTTCAACTTTTTCATCGACTTCAGGCTAAATTTAGAATATGTGGGCACCGGTGTAGGAGGAAAAGAGGACGCTTTGGCGAGAGTATCTATTGTGAATGAACAAGGAAAGGTTGGTTGAATGAGCTAGGAAAGTTTACTTTTCATTCTTTAGGTCGTTTACGATAAATATGTGAAGCCAAAAGAGAAAGTCACCGATTTTCGCACTCATGTTTCCGGCATTCGACCAGCTCATCTTATTACAGGTACTTAGATTGTTACTATCAGGCATCCTAATTTTGAATAACGTTTAGCGGAAACTTTTCAAAAAGTCCGAAACGAGGTGTGCGAGTTATTCAGCGGGAGAACGATTGTCGGACATGCTTTGCATAACGACTACAGGGCAAGTTCTACAGTAGGTATCACTAATTTATGATGTTGATATTTTAGGTTTTACAATTGGATCATCCAAAGAAATTAACGCGTGATACGGCAAAAGTCAAGGTCAGTTAGAAATAGAAGTCAAGGTCAGTTAGAAATAGGATAAACGATAAGCTTTAGTGTTTGCGAAACGAGGCACAATGTGGAAAGTTTCCGCCATTGAAACTGTACGCCGAGAAATTGCTAGGAATTCAAATTCAACAAGGAGAACACGATTCGGTAAGGAAAATCGTGTTTTGAAGAAAATTGTGGTTTTATACTAAATGAGTAGACTAAATGCATTCCATTTTCTTTTAGGTCACTGACGCTCGAGTGGCACTCCGAATATATCAGATGTACAAGAAGAAAATCGAGGACGAGATTGCGCGATACAAGTAGAAAATGTGGTAATGTTTGTTGTTTGTTACTTCAATTTGTTATTTCATGAATAAATGTTGTTTTTCTGTGTGCAATTTTAAAGATTTTGGTTTGATCCTTATTCTGTGCCTTTTTCTCGAATCTTTCAACAAATGCCATATTTCACTTGCAGGCAGAATGCAGCCAGAGTTCAGCGGGCTCGAGGTCGGCCGAATTTTTGAAATATAAAATGAATGAAAAAAATCGAAAACGTGGACCTAAAAACAAAGTTTAGATATGCATTTTGCTTCTTTCAATCGTGGCATTTCTCTATTTTTGGTGAGTTGATAAAAATTTACATTTAAAAAGCACGAACTTACGTTTAAGGCCGTAGTTTTGCATTTTAAAAGTCGAAAAACTGAGTGATGAGTGAAAAAAAACATTTATTCACTCGTATGTTTCCTTGCTGGTTCTTGCCGCCTTTTTAGTTGGTGGCATTTTGAAATTTTGTTTTTTAATCATTAAATTCTTTATTCTGTGATCACGTTTTTTTTAGCTACGTGTCAATTTTCCCGCCGGATAACCGGGGTGAGCTGTCTCGATTTCACATGCACATGCACACATTATTTCATTGTTTAGCGTATCCTGGCGCGTTCGGCTATCAGCATCTACCACCGCCGCCTCAACCCGCTCGTATTGGATTTATTCGGGTTTGGATTGCGGTATTTGTATTGAAGTGCAAAAGGAATAGCTTTAGAACATATTTGCTTAATCTTACTGTAGCTTACTTAATCTTACTTAATCTTACTTAATCTTACTTAATCTTACTTAATCTTACTTAATCTTACTTAATCTTACTTAATCTTACTTAATCTTACTTAATCTTACTTAATCTTAATCTGGAAGTTACAATACTTTCCATTTGATCACTAGTGACGCCTTTTCGAAATTACTTTTTTCCGAATTGCGGTCATTTTCAGAATTTATGACTTAAGCTCGCTCTTTGCTTCGATTAATCTGTGGCTGGGGGGAGGGTTTAATGCCAATCGATCAACTCTTTCTTTCTGATATCACACATTCCTTTTATTCGTCACCTTTTCTTTTTAGCCAAATCAAAACGGTCGTCGGTTTAATGGTTTTGAGAATCGTCGAAGGAACAACGTTCAACAACAACAGCAAACTTATATGAACTCAACGCATCGACCAGCGCACAAAAACGGAAAAATGATGTACGGTTTAATGATATTTTTTTATAAAATTGGTATTAGCACTTGCATACAAACGGCTCTTTTCTTCATTCTCATCAATTTCCACATTTATAATCCTTAAAAAAATTTTAAATGGGATTAAAAATCGTTGATCTCCTTTAAAATCAATGCAAATATGAGTAACTCTTGTAAAAAGAAGAATTTGTTCCAAAACAGCATATCCTCCACGTGAAAAGAGAAAAAAACCCCAAAGTCTTTGCCGAGTTTCGCAATTATTTTAGTGACGCAAACTTTTCACTCTCACATGTCATATTGATCTGCCCAGTTTTTACAACTTTGTTTGGTCAAAGGAATAGCGTTGTTTATCTATCTTTTCCAAAAGTTTACACAAGGATACCTTTGTAGTTCTGTTTTTACTTATTAGTTCACAGTTTTAGACTTTTTTTGGTCATTTTTGAATGCATTTTCATATTATTTCATTTAGAAACTCTCCTCCACACGACTTGCGAATGGTACAACAGGTGGAAGGATATTGCCGAGTGCAGAAAAGGATGCCACCCGATTCACGGTATCATTGGGTGAATCCGAATATTGGGGAAAAGGTTTGTGCTTTGTTTTTTTTTTGAATATTATGCTGAAAAACGTTAACAAGATTGTTCAAAACCCTGATCAGAATTAGTTGGGCCTACTTCATCTTTTATTTACTTGCACTTTTACTCAATCTAATTGTTTAGCAAATGCACAACCAGCCACCAAAAGTCACGCCACCACCATTGGGACCAAAAAATATCAACGAAGAGCCGCAATTCTTTCAAAATACAGGATACAAAAGTTCGTAGCTTTATCGTTTTTATTAAGACTAACTCAATAGAATAGCCCAATAGAATTTTTTCTGTTTTAATCAAAGCTCGATTAATTGACTAATGCTAAAGTATTTGCTTCAGAAATTAATCAATCAAATGGTCGTCTCTCACCACCGAACCTTTTATCGCAGCATTTGCCACCACCATCGTCGATTGTTCAAACATCTAGCGCTAGCAGGTAACTACAATTTTGCACTTTTCGGTGCTGAGTCGACTGAAAAGTTCTTAAGTTAAAATATTCTGAAATATAAACGCTTTGCATTTAGGGTTCTCAATTTGGAACCTCGACTCGAGAAGCTCTTTCGCACACAAGCTCGACCGGTTTGAAATATTTTTTATTTCAATTAACTGGTCTCTTTTTAGGTTTTGGGACTCGATTGTGAGATGGTTGGTGTTGGCACCGAGGGAAAGAAGCACGCACTTGCACGAGTGTCCATTGTGGATAAAGGGGGAAAGGCGAGATTCTTTTGTTTTACTAAAAAGCGTCTCCTGCTTCTTTCAGGTGATCTACGATTCGTATGTACGTCCACACGCACAAGTTACCGATTATCGTACTTTTGTCTCGGGCATTGAAGAACATCACTTGAAAAATGGTTAGTGTGAACTTTCTTTGGAATTTAGAATTTAGATATAACTATTGTCTTATAGCTCCACCATTCTCAAAAGTGCGCATGGAGGTGGTTCGCCTCGTCTCAAAGTCGATCCTCGTTGGTCACGGACTTGAAAATGATCTCAAGGCGAGTTTTTTTGAATATGGATTAGTCAAGTAGGCCAAAATTAAATTGTGTAAGACAGTAGTGAAAATATTGTGCTAACATCTATTTTTTTTTAGATTCTCCGACTCGAACATCCTCCACATTTCATTCGTGACACTGCTTACTATGAGGTAAATCACAAGACGAGCTTTATCACTGTAGATTTTCTTTATTTAAAAAATCAATGAATTTCATCTATTTTAGCCGGTTCGTAAACTGGTAGCGATGACGCGGTGTCCACCATTGAAATTGCTTGTCGAACGGGTGCTTGAGGATGCGACCTTCCAGAAAGGAGCACATGATCCGGTAAGTTTCCATGATTTTTTTTTTGAGATTTCAAATTGTTGTTGTGATGCTGCACCTGAATAGATATTTAAAATCGTACGATAAAATATAGCCTCTAATAAATTTTGCCAACCATTTTTTTTAGCGCGAAGACGCTTTTGCTCCGGTGCGCATCTATTTGAAGTTTCGCGAGGAATGGGATCGCGAGATCTGTAGTGCGTCGTGGGAGAACAATCGCTGAACGCTACAAAATCAAATCAAAAGCAACAACAACATCTCATCTCAGTATTATCCAATTGTCTCAAAATTTATGGCTTTCTCATTTTCCTATCTTTCTTTAAATGCTCATTCATTTCCCTTCTCATTTCTTAGTCCTCAATCATTAATTCCCTAGTCGTTTCCCTGGTTATTTCTCCTTTTCCCTCAAAAAACTACAATTTTCCCCATATTTGACCCCATCATCATTTTCTTTTGTTATGTGACCCTCTTTTTTTGCGATCTTTTCTTTTTATATCACCCCATTCGCCCCAACAAATATCTAGATCTGAAAAAATTTCTTTTGTATACAATGTATTGGCCCAATTTTCCCCCGGTCTTTCTCTTTTTCTCTCCCTGGCTACCGTAATACCTGTAATAGGCTGTAGAATCGTCACGTAGCTCTTTAAATTTACATTGTGGGGTCTTTTGCGGGTATCACGGTATGCTCCTTTTATATATATAACTTCTTCTGCAGGGTTACGTGTTGCATTTGTCATTTTTATGTTTTTTCCTCTTCATCTCCATTTATCTTCTACCTATTTCCCCATTTTTTGCTCTTTTTGGTATACCGATTTATCTACGCACGGGTTCGTTTATTTGTTCGTTCGTGTTAATCTCATTTTCTTTTTTTACATACGCCATTTTTTTAGCCTAAATAGTGACAAATTTGCATATACGGATATTCTTAAGAAAATAAAGATTTTTGAGCTTTTGATTTGTACAATCCAGGATAGGATGTGTGCTCCAGGAAAGTTATTGCATATTTGACACAAACGTTTCTTATCCACAAACAGGGTTACACAAGCACAAACAATACTGTTTCTTATGCAACTAATGTAAAGTGATAATACAAATCTATACTTTCCCAAACAGCCCCCGAATCAATTTGAAGTGAATTTTGGTGTGTGGGTCCTTCCCCTTTCCACTCTCCTTTTTGGCAGAAGAGCCCCCGTATCGGCGTGCGATCTGTTGTCACCGATTTGGGCTTTGTGAAAAGAGGGAGAAATCTCTCTTGAGTCTCCTTTCAATGTCGGCACGGGTGACAAATGGAATGTGGATATGCGAAATCTCGAGGGGATTTGCCTAGAAAAGGAAAAGATGGAGAAAGATCACGCATTAACACGTTGCCTACATACCCAACAAAAATCAGGCACTAACACTCACTTTTTTCAAGTTAAACCATCAGACGATAAATCATTAATAAAATAAAAAGAAATGAATGAGAATGAATTTTCTTTTCTTTCTGAGGAAACTTTTTGAATTTTTGAGAATTTAAAAAATATTCAAATGAAAATTTTCAGAAAATAAGCCAAATACGACTCGACAAAAGCATGCCATCACGCATTAACACGTATGTGAAGGAGAGCAGGGAATCTTCCGGGAATCGAGGGGATATCAGTGAATGAATCGATAAGTGATAAGGGGATTTGGGATTCGACCTCTTGGTGTGCTGAAGATGATGCAGTGAAGTTTTCGAATTCAGATTGAGGGAGAATTCAACTACGGACTCACAAGATTTATCATTTTTTAAACTGTTGCTATTAGAGCATTTTAAAACTGCTCTAGCAGCCTGAAAAGCAATAAGAATCAGAGCCTAATCTTCACTCAAAGCTTTTGATCTCTTGTCTCATACGCAAATCGAGTGAATTGTGACTGGGGGAAGCTCTCGTTTCGCTCGTTACCGTAGTGCGAATGAAAGGGGCAATCCGCATTGAATGATTGATCACAAAAGGTGGAAACGAATCGATGTTATTGCCTGCTTCTCACACTTTTCCTTTTTGCTGCTGTGTTCTCCCCTTTCCAAATCACTTGTGACGGTTTTGCACGAAATTGAGAGAAGTCTGTTTCTTGTTTCTGACTACAAAGCTCCTTTTTGAGAGTACGGTAGAAACGAGTGATTTTATAGGTTCAGATTTCTAGAGTTTCCTAAAACGTGTCAATTTTTAGAAACTACCGTAATCTTTTCTTTATTTTTGGCCTGCTTCGGTGAGGGCTCCCGAAATGCACGAGAACTATTCAAAAATTGGATAAAAACTAGAGACAGATTACGGTGGCTTTGAAAGTTGAGACGTAGGGATCAGTGTACCAGAAGCCGAGCGTTTATCGAATTTTTCCAGTTTTTGATGTTAGAGGAAAATTATGATCACAATCTGAAAAAAATCAATGATTTTTCGCGATCAAAAATGAAATGATGACGGTTCCCCATCCTTTTCCTTTTCATTTCTTTAGCATGGTGGTCTTTTCCCCAGCCCGTTCTCGTTGATGTGATAAATGCCGATCTTACCCACATTCATTCCATCAGAGGAATACCGTAGCCACTAAAAGCCAAATTTCAATCGATTTCCCTCAACCCTTTCCTTTCATTGAGCTCAAGAATTTCAGCTAACTATTGGCGTTTTCTGTATGCACTTTGTGATCAACTCAAATACACCCTTTCTGGCATACTCGATTCTCTATTTTCTTGCTACCATTATCATAAGGAAATGAAAAATTCAGTTTACCAGGGAATAGTGCGTTTAGTCCTTTAACACAAATCCTGAATAAGCAGTTAACTTACAAGCCTTACGGTGGCTTCCTAGAAACTCTAAAATCCCTGGGTTTCAATCTCTGAATCGGCTAGCAAGGGGTGAAGCTGAAAATGGGTGAAATTTGAGCCTTGAACCGGTAATCCTTGCGCATATCAGTGGTGGGCATCTGAAAGGAGAGAATGCGAGGCGAGGGGAAAGGCTTAGGCGTGAATCCTCGTCGCCTTAGAGCCAATGCCGACCCTGGTCTTGGTCCTACCCTACCCACCCCTCTCCTTCTCCTTTTTATAGAAAGCATTAGTGCAGGCTTTACCCCTTTGCGGCTTTACCCCCCGTTTTAGAACAAAAAAGAAAAATGAGTGTGATCATCGTTTCCCTTTCCCTTTCCTCTATTCTTTTCGTTTCCCATTTCAACTGGGGCTTTGCTGGCCTTTTGAGAAACGGTAGCTTTTCGTGTCTAAGTGTCGCAACTTTTCACTTCCGAAAAGCTTTCTTGGAAGAATTTCAAAAGCATTGACTCATCCTTTGCGAGCTCGAAATATCCTTTGGAAATTGGCGGATTTGCAGATACCGTATTCTCTCTAATAGTAGTACGCACTACTATTTTTTCAACCCCCTCCTGGACCGCAATACTATTAGAGAGTGCACTACTATTAAAGAGAATAGGGTAAACATTTGTTATTCTGATAGTGAGAAGATGTTCGAAGCACTTTTGTGCAAAACTTGGGTAATTAAACCAGCCGAGAACCATTTCTGACAGCCTTTATCCGGGGCAGTGTGCCAAACACCAATTTTTTTTCTACAAGAGACATGGAGAGAACGCACATATCGAAGTGTGTGTTCTTTTCTCGTCGCTTGTAGGAAAAAGCGGTGTCTGGTACACTGTCTAGAATAAAGGCTGTCAGAAATGCTCATCGGCCCGTTTAATTACCCGAGTTAGAAGTACAGCTGGGATATTAGTTGGCTTAAGCTAAACATAACAAGATAAAGAGCTTTGACCGCCTTCTAAACCCCTTTTTCCCATTGATTCGGTTTGGGGGTGGCCATCACAATTTGCATTGATGACAGTCGTAAAGTGGCACCCCGAATCCTCTCTTTTTATCCTTTTCCCCCTTTTGATCTATTCTTTTGATTCTTGAGGAGAGATTCCACCGATTTCATCTCTTTTCTTTTCAATTTCCCCCCACCAAATCCTTCCTTTTATCCATTTCTTGACAGCTACCGTATGGCGCTAACGGGAAAGTGTGGAGATGAATTTGCATACTTACACAGAGACACACTTGAGGAATCAATGCTTTATGGACATTTGGGGGAAAGGGAGAAGGGTAAAGAGTAAGAATAGGGCACTCGAGTTCAACGGGTAACTCTTTTATGATCGCTTTTCAAGGTAAGGTAAGGTAGGGTAAAGATTTGGTGATTGAAGCGTTTTCTAAAAGTTTCCCTCTAAAATAAAAGGAGTACGGTAGTTTAAAAGGCTTTCTAAAAGTCGTCTCCAAACAATTGACTTACTCGGATTGGATAAACGATCATGAACAAATTACAGTTCTACCGGTGATTGTTAAGTCCATGCTTTACCCAGGATACACTACCGAATGATTCCCTGAATTATTACCAACTGGATGGCAACTTGGATCCTCTACAAAGTCTTCTAGTTAGCTAGATACAGAACTTATCTTGACTACAATACCTCGAATACCTCAAATTCCTATATTCCACTGTACAATCACCCTGAAAACCCGTCATTCCACTGATCCATCCCCGCAAATTCGTTTGTTTATGTGTTCCAATGAAACAATATGTTTTATTATCAAAAGATCTTGATCTTTTCGAATGGAAAGAGATCAGATCCCGAGATTTCCTCTCATTTTTACGATGGTTCATCACCGCACAAATTAGCGGTTTGGGTGGTTCCATTTGGGGTGTTTTTGGGTGTGGTGATTCGATCTCAGAAAAGGAGTTGCTACAGATAATTTGGTGGTGAGAAATCCGTATTGGAATTGTATTGGAATTGTATTGGAATTGTATTGGAATTGTATTGGAACCGTATTGGAACCGTATTGGAACCTTATTGGGTTGGGTAAATAAATGCATGTCTAGTGGACGAAATTCGTCAACTTTGTATGTTTCAGGAAATGCCTTTTCCGGCAACACAAATACGATAGATTTCTATAAGCCTATAATAATTCAGCTTTTGTTTGAAAGTCTTGTGGAATTTAGGCTTGAAATGGTCTCAAATGGTCTCAAATTGTCTCAAATTGTCTCAAAAACAAACCCCGACGGGTTTATTGTCGCACTTAACGCCTCGCCAAAAAGGAATTCGAGAAAATCTTTCTTTTTTTTGGTTGAAAAGAACAAGTGTAGGTCACAAAAAAAATTGAAAGAAAACATTTACAACATGTCACTCTTCGTTTTTTGTTTCGTCTTTTATCGTTTTTGACTGTCAGAAACACAATCAGGACGTGTCTTTTGAAGAAAAAAAAAGAAAAGAATTGAGGGATTCTGTAGAAACAATCTCTCTTTCATTTCTCTCTTTCTTTTCTCTTTTTTTCATTTCACAATCCGAGCGTGACTCTTCTTTTGAATGATCATCGATTTGTGGGAGAAAGATCAAAAGAAAAGCCGACAATCTGCAAGAAATTGGAATGATTAAAGTTTTCAATGAATAAAGATTAATTATTGCAAAAAAACAAAATTGCAAAAAAACAAAATTGCAAAAGAGCTCTCCATTACAGTGAATGTGTGTACCTTTCATGTCGATCGTTGGAAAAAGCAGCATCTGGCACACTGCCCCGGGTAAACCCGGCTGAAAACCCTCTTAATCGGTTTAATTACCCAAGTTTTGGTGTGTTCCCTCTGGACTCACACAATCGCGCGGCTTCTGGCTCACCAGCAGGTTTGCCAAAAGGCGTCGATTGTGGTAGCACACAAAAGACACAGATTTGTTTAAAGAATTTTTCTTTCTAAAGGTTTAGATTTTATTTCTTCATCAGCTTTCCAATCCAGCAATCCAGCAAGCCAGCAATCCAGCAACCCAACAAATCCATTACCCATTCCAAAGTTATCGGTCTTTTCAGTGCGAAAGCTAAGTGACACACGTCGAGAAGAAAAGAGAAAAGAAAAGGGACAATCTCGAGTTGAAATCTTGAAAGAGATATCCGTCTATTGAAACATTTCACTTTAGGGGAAAGAGATGAGAGAAGATTCGGTGGCGACAGATGGCTGAATATCGTTTCTTTTGTGTGAAGAGCACTGGCCCATGGATATGGGTTTGATGTTCTCGCTAAGTTAATCGTTCTGTGAAGGGTAGGCTGTTTCTAGTAATGTTTCTAGTAATGTTCCCTATGTGAATGGGTTTTAGGATAATTTAGGACAATAGGGATGGGTGTAGCCAAGTTGAAGTTGACTCCAGTGAGTACTGGATCTAGGGTTATCTAGGGATCTAGGTTTTGGGTTTAATAGTAAGCTGAGGCTTTGGATACTGGTACTAGGGTGCTGAGATTTGTGGGGGACTGGGGTCATCTGGGCATAAGCTCAGGCTATAGATATGCGTACTGACCTTGTCGCTATGTAAACGACCTTCCAAGATACTGCTAGAGGCTTGTTCCTGACTGTACAATAAAAAAGCGTTTTCTAAAATGCGTCAGCTTTCGGGAACTACCGTAATCTTGTCTATTTGCTTTTGGTTTGATTCTGTGAAAGTTATCAAAAGATACAATAGATTAGATCAAAGCTAGTGACAAGATAACAAGATAACGATAGGTTCCGAAAAAAGACACAGGAAACGGATTAATCGAAAAGAACAAGTCAAGTACAGACTCAGAGAGGAGGTATTCTTGGTCTTTCCCGGACTCGTTACCCCTTTGTGAATGGGTCTTTTCTTCTTCCTCTTCTTCTTCCTCTTCTTCTTGTACTCATCTTTTCACAGAACATCGCCCTCAATCAGATAAGGCTTTTGCGGGAAGAAACCGGGGATTTCAGTTAAGCGCACCACTCGGACAGACTGATGATCCGAATTCGTTAGCTTGCCATTGTTTATATTATACTTTAATATGATACAAAGCTTTATTACATTATTATAAAGCCCTTTATCCAAACTAAAGTAAGCCAGCCAAGCCAGGCCAAATTGTTTTATTGATTTTTCCCATTTCCTTCCCAGTTCGCTATGGCTAGTATTTCAGTACTTTGTGCTTTCACAAACGCAAAGCCTCTGGCGCACTCAAGACTGTTAAAATCAAGAGTCAAGTGGCAATTTACGTGAAAATTGACACCAAATCGATAAACGCAAAAAGGAAATAAAAGGAATGAAATACCGTATTTCTTGGTGAGTCTTTTTTTTGCGAATTCTTGTACGTGTTTCCTCATTCTTTTCCATTGCCCATTCCCTATTGGATCTGCTTCTCGCCACGCCCCTTTCACTCCTTTGAGACTTCACAAAGAAGTACTGATCACCGCCTCGACATTACTTTTGATTTCATAACTTTAATGCTTAATAGATTTTCTATTCGTACTATTCATTGAGTCTATTCACTAAAATATTATTTTAATAAACTTTTTGCAACTTTTCACCCATTAGAGACTTCACAAGAGTGACCTTACAAATTGAATATTTAGCTCTTTATATCCTTAAACAGTTAAAGTCCAAGTCCTAGATAGAAGTTTTTGGATTTCAGCATACACTTATGGAATTTCACTCCTCCAAATCCCCACCAGCCAATCACCAATCGTTTCGTTTTCCTTTGTGATTTGGAAACTTTTCTTAAATCTTTTTTTTAAACTATGCATTTTCATCGATAACTATTTGTTCTTAGAATCTTTATGACAAGAATAACGGGGAAGAGAAATCGACGAGATGATGAAGAAAAAGAAGAAAATCGAGAAGAGGGGACGATGGGAAATGGTGAGAAGAATAAGGGGGATGATAAACATGTTATTCTGATAGTGAAAGATGTCCGAGCAAAATTATGCAAAACTTGGGGAATTAAACCGTCTTGGGGGCTTTCCGGCAAGTTTTATCCAGAGCAGCGTGCCAGGCGCCGATTTTTGCCAGGCACCATTCAAAGAACGCACAGTGCTCTTTCTATAGAGAAACTATGCGTTCTTTCCCTGTCGCCCGTAGAAAAAAGCGGCGTCTGGCACACTGCGCCAGATAAGGGCAGCCGGAAATGCCCTCCACCCGGTTTAATTACGCAAGTTTCAAATTTCAGGCTCTTCACCAGGAAAATCCATGACGAAGCGCCCTCGTTTCAGCATTGATAATTTATTAGAAGAATGCCGTGGATCTTCAAACTTCAATTCACCCCAAACAACAATGATTTGTCGTGAGTTGATTGAAAATTTATTTTGTTGATTTCTATGTTACCATCTAATCAGTCTATACACCAGATGCTGAAAGTTTACACGTGACTGAGCAAAAAGTTTAGCATAAAGCTATCCAGAAACTAGATCTCTTTTCCTAGATAGATCTGCCCGAAATGCAAATTTTCCCTCAAAAACCTGTAAAATCCCCTTTTGACAAGTAGTGGTAAACGGCTCATCAACTACAGTAATCCCCAGCGAAAAGCCAAAGAACAAAAGCTTTTTTCCTAAGAGTGTCAATTTGAAATGCTTGTCGTCGGGGTGTCGTCCTATGGGAAAAAAATTGAGGGAAGGAAAAGTTTGAGAAAGTTTTGAGCAAAAAAGACGTCTCTCGACACTTTCATCCGCCAAAAATGTGTCGATCGGTCCCCGGGGATTCTTTTTGGGGCAATAGTTGACAACAATTTCGGAGCAGTTTTTCGAGATGAAGGGGGATTTGTTGGTTATATTAAGAGCTTATCGTACTATCCACAATCAGAGTTGTTCCACAAGTAAGGGCCAGGTCAGAAGAAGGGCTGGCTTCTGACCTTGCCTTGCCAGCCTGCCCTGGGAACAACCCTGCCCAAAATGTCCGCAATGCTACCGTACTCCCCAAATTGTGCTAGATAATTTGAGCGGTTAAATGCCCTAGTAAAGGTTCCCTGAATGATTCTGAAATGATTTCCAGAAGCCGAAACTTCGTCAAGCGTTGTTGTTGCGAATGATCAATCGATCGATCGTCCAATTTCCTCGTCAACAACAACCGATTTGGGAGTACTCGATGAGGGAAATGGATCAAATGGATCGAGTGATGACGATGGAGAGCATTTCGATGATGTTAAAGAGATGCCCATTGATTTCACAAGTGAGAAGAGGAGCTCACCTTATTGTTATAGTTAGAACAGGATCTCAAAACAAAATCTTCAGGCTACATCGTGGTTAAAATGAAATTCACTTACGTAGGGACGCGTGAGCTAAAAATCCGATTTAAAGCTTCTGGGGCGAGCTAGAGGCCCTCGGTTGGGTTGGGAGAAGGAAAAGTTTGAGAAGTTTTGAGCAAAAAAGAAGTTGAGCAGAAGCGCAAAAAAAATCGTGACAATCCAACTTTGAGCCCCTCTAACTCGCTCGATAAGCTTTAAATCATATTCTTAGCTCGTGTGTCCTATGTAAACCGACACGAAGAATCGATTGATGGCGGATAGAAGTTTACTGAATAACGGCTAAGGGTCTAAAACCGATGCCCGACCCTAAATTTTCCCAAAAAAATGCAAATTTTTCCCGAATGAATTTCATTTTAGAAAAATTTCATTGTAGCTATGATGTAGCCTGAAGATTTTGCTAAATTTTCTTCTATGAGCGTAAATTGATTGGACGCTTCTGGACGAAGCTCTAGCGATTCTCCCAAAAATACCGAAATCTTGGTTACAGGCCTGCCTTGAGGCAGAGGAGCCAATAGCAATCTTTTAACAAAGATCATCTTTTTCAGTTTCCTCAACTCTTCCCTGTGGTGACGCGCTTCGCTGTCTCGATTGTCGTTTAGAGGGCGGAGAATTATGGACAAAATTCCACGAGTTGGGCACAGAGATGATCATCACAAAGAGTGGACGGTTTGTTTTAAAAGTTGAGGTGCGCCAGAAGGGGGTGTTTTTACAAAGCACAAAGTACATCATTCGGATTTCCAAATTGTTCTACTGATTTCATTTTGTCAATTCGTTGATTGAGTGAGAGATTGGCTAAAGGGAAAAACGCTCGAATCAATCGAGGCGAGTGCTTTTCGGAGTGAAAATTTGGCGAAGAAGCGAGCGACCGTGTTACCGTAATTAACACATTTTCGGTGCGTGAAAGGGGAAGGGTTTCCCATTTTAGGCAAAAAAAAGAAAGAGAAAAGAGATGAAATGAACCCATTTTGGTGATTAGTCTTTACCCTCCTCTTTCGCACTTTTATTGAGTCTTTTAAAAAGAAAATTTGGGACGAAAGCAGTTTTTGGAGAGACAAGATGAAACTAAACCGTTCACCCAATCAAAACACAAATTGTTTTCTCTGGGATATTGTAGAAAATTTCATCACTCCTTCACTTGGTTTCCTCTAGAAAACAGCCAATTTTTGTCTGCGAACTTAGGCACTGGACTTCCCAATTGGGTAATTGAACCGAGCACATCAAGAAAGACGCCTTCCCAGTTAATGGTTGTTGAGTGAATGGGAAGATCGTAAGGACCCAAGGGAAGACAAGGGAAAAGACAGCCAACCCATCCAATACACAGAAATGAGCAATTCCCTATTTCTCGCTCCTTTTCGAGAAGTTTTACACGTTCATTACGACCTCGAGAGACAGAAGTCATCAAGAAAATGAAGTTCAACTCGGGGACATTTAGAAATTTAGAAACAAGAAAATGCGGGGATAAGTTGAGCTGTGTGTAAGATGAAAACTGACGGTACTGATTTAGGTATCCATCTACAATAGTCGCCTAAAGTGTTCCCAGAGAAGCTGAATATCTTTTTTAGTTTAATGATATCGACTTGTCTAACCAATTAGCATCAATTAACTTCTATAAACAATTTTAGACGAATGTTTCCGACGGTGAAAGTGAGCGTGAGTGGAGTCGACGCAGACGCTTTGTACTATATTTTTCTCGACGTGGTCCCAGTTGATAATAAAAGGTAAAAGAGACTGGATAATGCAATCCTTAATACTTCAGATATCGATACATTTACAACAAATCCGCTTGGCTGACCGCCGGAAAAGCCGAACCGACGCCGAAAGCCCGGGTCTATATGCACCCAGATTCACCGTTTACTGGAGAGCAAGTTGGTTCTTGAACGCAGTAGATCGGTCATAGTACATTACCGTAATTTCAGTGTTTTCTTTACAGTTTTCTTTCACGTACAGTACCCACTTTTCAGCTCTCGAAACAAGTTGTATCTTTTGAAAAGGCGAAACTCACCAACAACGAGGTCGACAAAGCCGGGCATGTAAGAGAATTTGCACTAGAAACCCAGACATCGTAAAACTTGGAAATTTTTTAGCTAATCCTCAATTCAATGCACAAATATCAACCCCGAATCCATGTGGTGAGAAGGGATCGATCAAGGTGAGAGAAGAACCCGCAAAAAAAAGTGTTTCCACCACCTTTTTATACATAACAAGCAAGCAACTTTACTGTACGTGAATACTTTGTAGACCTTTGGACGCCTCCGCCACTCACGCCACAGCCACAGCCACTGCAGCGGCTCTCCGTGCCGAACCACATCGAACTTTTGCTTTCTCTGAGACACAATTCATGGCAGTCACAGCATACCAAAATCAATTGGTGAGCTAAGCGTCGAAGGCTGATTGTCGAAATCAATTTCTAGATCACAAAGCTGAAAATCGAGAAGAACCCGTTTGCGAAGGGTTTCCGTGATCCGAGTGGCCGATCACCGGACAGTGAGAGGTAATATTTTGAACTCAAATATTCACCTAAACAATCACCAATTCAGCGATCCACGTGGTGATCTCGGTCCACTATTCCTCCCATCTCTCTACAATCCTGCAATTCTTCAACAAGCACTCCTCAATCAATGTGAGTAAATGTCAAACTACGTTAACTACCTATGTGTTGACTGTAATCGTCATAGAACCTACTGCAATATCAAATATCCCACTTCAGACTGGATGAGCAAAGCAGCGGTAACGACTCGACCGCCAATTGGTGCCCTCAATCCGTCGATGATCTCCCAAATGCTACTTGCACAGTTTCCGATCGGTAACACAATTTTCGCATAGAAAATAAATTTGCTACCTAAGCTACATAATTTAAGGTGTTATCTCCTTCCAAAAAGCAATTCTAGGCATGCTCCGTCCTCCGATCGTTTCTCTATCCGAACCTACGCCTATTTCGACGCCAATTTCTCCCGGGAAACCCGATTAAGCTCTTTTAAATTGTAATTTTACAAAACTTTAATAATCTTTTCAAACTGTGCCATATACCCATTTTCATGATACTTGTGCATTTGGTGAGCGTAAGATATGTTAAAAAAACAGCTCTGTTATTTTTCCGCTCACTAAATGCAAAGGTACCCTTTTATTTTCCAAAAGCTATCAAAATTCTTTTGCTCTTAGCGTATCAAATGAATCATATCCGGTCAATCAATTTTCGAATTTCCCGTGTGATTTTTGTGTCTCTATCCACTCTTCTCCCAAATCCATGACCTAATTGCTACCGGTTACTCCTAACCAAAAAATTTTGGTATCAAAGCTGTGCAATCCTATAGAAAAATTTCTTTTAATACCCGTCTTGACAAAATAAATGGACAAAGTTTTCACAAAGTTCACAAAATCATAAAATTACATCCCTTGATGCCTCTCTCCATCCTCACCCTACTCCTTTTCTTTACCCACCTTCTCCGTTGCTTGCTCTTGCTTCTTTACTTCCTCCTCCTCTTCTGGTTCACCCATGTTCACGAGAATCTTTGGTGAATTTTCTGTTGATCATAACGAGACCGAGAAATCGAGGTTAATCGGTCGACGCCCCAGTCCTCTTCGGGATCGACATCTTGAGTTTCATCGCTAACGTCCCACCTCTCTTCGGTGCTAAACAAAACAAATATTATTAAAATCGGTTTTAATCTGAAGGTTCTGATAGATTATCGGCAATTTTCAAAAAAGACTTTCATAATGTCAGCGTGAGATAAATTTGTGATTTTATTTACGCGAAACCTTGAAAGTATGAAAGTATGCTAATATCAACTTATCTTAGTTTTAAACGCAAAGAACGAACGCGTACATAAAAGGATTTCAAACAGAACCATAAATATATACTTTAGAAAACCGACTCGGCTAATACGATGTTGGGCGTATTATCTGTACAAAGGAATTTCCGTTTGATCAGACGGCCATCGACCATTTCGACCTAAAAAGGAAAATTTGGCAAAAAAAATTGTGATATCCGGCTAAACTTAAAATCAAATAGTTCAATTTGATCTCTTGTTCTATATTTTCATGAAAACCTCCTGTCACATACCAGAAACTTCTTCCAATATTATTTATCCACATGAGTGAGTTGGCGATGGTGATGCGGAATCGGTTGGTTGAGCAGAATCGTCTGGTTGAAACTGTGAAGTATAGCTATCGATAAAAGCACTCGATGAGGCAATTTTCGCAGAAGTTTTCGCAGAAGAGTTCGTAGAAATTATCGTAGCAATGTCTCTAGAAAGGAGTGATCAACCTTAACATCCTAAAATAAAGTTTTTTCGAAAAGTATAAAACAAAAAAACTGGAACAAATGTACATCCCGTACATCCACATTTCACAATGTAGACTCCCTGCCAAAAATGGTAGTACACTAATTTTAAGTTTTCAAATGCACTATTGCTCAAGGCAAAAATCAGCGCTACTCTCCTAATTATAATAGCAAATTACTTAAAACTTAAAGGCCTATTTCAAGGCCAAAGGAGCCAGAACGTGTAAATAACGCCAAAATGTAATTTTACTGCATAATTACTGCATGACACTTTTATTTGTTCTAAATTTTACGAGAAACAAACAATCACAAGATTCTTACAACCATATGATGTAAAGCATACTAATCACCTAGAAAATCACTTATAAACTAACGTTCAAAACATGAAGAGATACTGGTTATAAAAACAAATTAAGTCACAGATTCAGAAAAAAACGCCAAATCATAATCATGCGCCTAGTTATTCGTGAAAAATAAAATAAACAAGCATTATTATGTTAATGTAAACGCTTCTGCTTGCTCATCACAAGGCTTTCCTCGGCTCGACGAACGGCTGATGGAATCAATTGATCGGTCTTTGAGCGATAGGTACCAAGTAGACGCTCACAGTGCTTCTGTCCCGAAGAAATGTCACTCATCTAAACAGAAAACTTTGGTGCTACTTTAACACTTGTAACTTCCTATACAGTATGCCGCATAGCACTTTTTTTGCCTAAATATTATGGTAACTGGTAGTTCGTCTTTTGAAATTCAAGTAAAGCTTTAAATAAAACCCACCAAGGAAAGCAAGTCGTAAATCGTCTCATCGGGCACACAGCTGTCTTTCTTGTAGGCAGAATGAGAGTGCACGAAATCTCGAGTCCAGTGAGCCAAAGTCCAGATTTCTCCAGAGGCACGCTTCTAAACAAAATTACACAATTCACATAATCTGCCTAGTGTTGCCCAAGATTTGAAAGCACTTACCGAAATGAAATTGAGATATTGTGAAATCGTGCATCGCGTATCCACATCAACATCAGCCGAATCAAGATACTGTTTGATGAGCGGGATCAGACCAGGCCATTCTTCATCTTTGCCTAAAGTTTGCATTACATTGTTGCTTCTAAATGATAAAAATAAACCATTGACAATTTCATGAATGCTCATCTCGGCAATGTCTTCACTGCGTGGTTGTCCTCCTGTGCATTTCGTTTCTCCACCAGCAAACTCCTCTGGCGGCTGGCGACAAGTGGAAAGACCCTAAAATTTTAATTTTGATTGGATTAAAAGCAATAGCCTACAAAAAAGAAAAGCAAGAAAAATTTGAAAAACTTGCTTTTCGGAAGAAGAACTTTTGCTGAGTGACCGCATCTCTTTTTTGTGCTCGTTTCATGTTCTCACCAATCATCGAAATTGGCAGTAGATAAGTCAAACGGAAAGAAATGATGACTCTGAAATGGAATTGTCTTCTGAAAATAAAAGTATTAACTACCTCGTCAATAAAACGACAAAGCAGCAATAGGCAGCGTTCTCGAAGTCGGTCAGTTGAACCTTGATATTAAATATTTTTCTGTGCCATTAAAAGTCTTACTTCAGTAGGTCGAAATTCGACTCGCCAACCGATTTCAGGTGCATCCGGTGGTGGGGGCTAAACAAATATTGTTATTATTGTGTTTGTTTAGTCATCAAACTACCTTGAATCTCATGTTCATCCAGTTGCTGCTTTGAATCGTTTCGAAATGTTCGGAGCTTTTCGTATCATCTTGCTCAATTCGTTCACGGAACACCTAAAATCAACTTTAGAAATGTTTAGATAGTTTTTATTTGAAAAATAACAAATCTTACCTGTAGTGGATCTCTGATAAACATGTGAGCAATGTGTTTTGAAAGATGTTCATCAATTTGGCCCTCGAGAAGTTGCTGATAGATCTCCTCGTCATACTAAATCACGTCAATCAAATAAAATATCCAAATATTACTTGAAGTGGTATGTCGTTGTAAGCGGCCGAGCAAGCATAGATGTAGCAATCCGTCGTGTCATATCTACATCATAAAATTTCTAGCAGGGTTTAAAAATGGTACCTTGACTTTTCGATACGCCATTTACTGTTCTCTAACGGGATCAACCCACGCTCTTCAGCGGTACGATCGTCAACACTCTAGAATTTCTTAAAGTTAATTTGCTTAAAAATACTACCCACCGCACTAATAATGTCCCAGCGTGAATCAACGTCGGCAAGAAAACCTCTAGAAGATGATAACTTTATAGAACTTCACCAGTTTAGGGTATTTACTTGAAGATTGGTGTTGCAGCAGAGAGAGCCAACAAAACAGGAGTGATGGGCGTGAGTTGATCGTAGAGCCAGCGAGCCTCATCCACGTTCACTGCTTGGAATGTCACCTGAAATATTCGATTTTAAATCAAATAAGTGCTACCAAGACAATAAAAGAAGATTCATAATTATAACAGGTAGTCGGTATATTCGAGTCACGGAACTCACCTGAAGACAGCAGCAACCCATCCCGAAACCCATATGATCCATGTAGATGTGATCGTCCAAAGCGCGCATCTTGTGTTCCTCTTTCACATGGGCCAAGTTTTCCTAAAACGGAAAAGTTTAACAATAAAACCCAAGCTTAACCTGGAATGGCGCATTTGTTTTCTCGTCCTTGTAGATGGGCACATTGATCGCCACTTTTTCACCTCGTCGACCCCGGATATTGCGAACAAGATTTTTAAATCTAAATTCTCAATGCAAGACATACAAAAGGAACGGCACAACCTTGGATGTCCGTTGTAAATAGCGTCATCTGGGAAGAAGAGACTTCTACCGGCACCCTGAAATTAAGGTTTTAAAAAGTTTTTTGCTAAAGGGGTAAAGAAAAAGAAAAAAAACTTTACTTGCTCATCATCTGGCGTACATTGTGCTGAAGGAAAAGTGAAGTCGGCGGTCCCGAGAGCCGGAAATGAGATCGATAACACGCTCTCATCCTAAAAATAACTCGAAAGTTTTGTACTCGCATTATTTTAACTTCCTCACCTTCTTTAAAAGCCCATTGATCGCTGCACGTCGCATTTTCATATTCGCCTCTACTACGTTAAAGCAGGCGAGAAGACCTAAAGTTAACCATTGTTTGTGAAAGCTGCAAGTTTTCTTTCCAGCAATCCCAAAAAATTTTTTACCTCCATAAGGAACCCCGGGCGTGCCCTCAACCATATAAGCGGCAAACTCCGGTCTCCACAAGAACTTGTTTGCCGTTCCGACAAGATTGTTCACCTAAAAGAATTATATTTCATAAAACTTCAGGCGTGTTTCAATTACTTCTTCTTCAGCAGAAAGACGTCCCAGAAGCTCTTCCGCGCGGAGTGACACACGAACCTGAACAAAACTATTTACTTCAAACGATTTTTATATCTAGCCAAGCTAAAAGATTTTATGATTACTTTTACCAACAACAATGATTTAACTCATAAAACAACAAACCTTTTTGCCATCATGGTCAAACTTGACAATCGTGTACTCGATCTCATCCCCCCACTTCAGTTGATCTCCCTAAAATCAGTTCATTCATTGCTGAAAATTTAGTAAGTAACCTGACGGCTCTTTAAACGGTGATAAAGGTTGATGAATTGAGCGATTCCGTGTTTCTAAAGTTTGATAAATTTGGCCAAATATAAAATTTCCAAACCTTAATGTATTCGACGTATGGGACAGTTTCGCTCCAGCTTAACGGGCTCCCTTTTGTTAGAAGACCCATTTCCTGAAAACAAATTACTTTGCTTCAAATAAACAAAAAATTTTGTTAAATCAATTTTAAAAAGCACCCGAGTTTCTTCTGAGAAACGTTTTAAGAGAGGCAAAACAAAATTTTCTCGCAGATTGAAGAGATAAAACTTCTTGAAACGTTTTAAAATTTAAAAATTCAATAAAAGTTTCAAATTTCCAAAGTTTCGTAAACTTTTGTGGCGGAAAGTGCTTTTGTTAATTTTCTTTTCATCTTGAGCGAATGATTAATGCACGAACTACATCGACTACAAAAAGCACAAACACTACACAAACATTTGTAAGCACAATAATGAAAAATGTAATACGAAACTTTGCGAGTCCGGAAATTGTGAAGATTTTGAAACATTTTATTATTAAAAACGAAAATAAAAAAGTTAAAATTTTAAAAACAAAAAGAACAACAAGTTAAAGCCATACAATTTGTAAAGAAATTGGTAGTCATAACAATGGGCGCGCAAAAAGGAAAAGATTCTTCTCTTCTAGGGTTAAAAGTTTCCGTACAAAGACTTTGGTGATCACAGGCTCAAAGAATACCTGTAAAATAAATTTTAACAACAAAAAGAATACCTAAAAATTGAAAAGGTGAAGACACTAGTGAACAAATGCTAGACGTAAGGTTACATTAAATCTAAAAAGCAATGTTATCCATCTTATTTTCCTAGTCTGATATCACGCCTAGAATAGTCGAGAAGCGCCGAGTGAAAAGTTGATCTTGATGTCGGCAATGATCTCAACGAAACGATTTCAGTGACACGAAGTGAAAGTGGTGGATATCTAAAGTGAATTGTAGAATTCGTTTAGCCAGTTCCACTTTATAAATAAACGTTTTATCTTAAGAAATCCACATTTGGTTTACTTTGTTGTTATTTTTCTATTTTAGTTTCGGTCACAAGATAACAAACCCAGCCATTGTCGGAAGAGCGCCAACTTTGATAAGCATTTCGGGCTCGATGATTCCACGTGTCAAGAGAATATTATCGAGTTGCTGCGCTGTCAATGGCTCCTCGCTTGATAGAAGCTAAATCAAAAGTTAGAAACTAAAAATTAATTAAAAATTTTACCCCTTTCTCATCATAATCATCATAATTTTCAATAATACAATAATATAATATAATGAATTGCAAGAAGCAATTCAAAGCCTACCTCTTTTATAGAATTGACCACTGTTTGACGTCCTGCAGCCGGCCCAAGAAGTTGCACAGCAAATGAAAGAGCTTTCAAGTCGGGAAACTCTTCTTCGGCAAAGAATTCCTAAAGTAAGTATTAAAGTATAAAAGAATTAAGCTCCCAAGTAAAGTTATTTGCTAACTCAACTCCGTACAAAGTCTTAAAACCACGATTTAATATAACTCAAGACTCAAAACTTCTTGTCAAACCTCAAAAACTTACAACTTCCTCGTTCATCAATGCCTTTTCCAATTGCGCCCTCATGCGGAGACATTTCCCCCAAGGATCGTAGAGCGAAACACGACGAACCCCGGCAGACATCGTCAATTCAAGGAATCGAGTGACATCTTTCTAAAAAATTAAAATACAAAATCTAGTTATTGCCAAAAACAAACCAGTCGAATATGTTGTTCTTCCGTGAACGTCACAGCCAAGTGTGTGGGTGTCCGGAATTGGTGGTTCAGTCGTTGTAGCTCCTTCTTCTAAATAGATGAAATGGTTTGATTTATGATTTATTTAGATCCCGTATAACTTCGCAACGTTTCTAAAAAACGCTATAAGGTTTTTCACTAATCAATAGCAATCGGGAATTATCAACATCAAAGCTACGCCATCAAAAGGAATTTCTTTGTTTATTTTAGGTTCAAAACTGAAAATCTACCAAAATATTAGATTCGCTCGAGGTTATCACGGCTAAGAGGCAAAAATGATAGATTATCCCCGATAAGCCAAGTCTACCAATCAACTTCGTATCCTTTTAACCACAAAACACCTCACCTTTATCGCATTTCGCACCCAAACGGTGCTCCAGCCAAGAAAATCGCATCCCATCCAAACAATGTGTGAAACGGCTTGTACTATTGCCCAGATCCAATCGAACATCTAAAATAGCCAAAATTAAGCACACAAAAGTATAATAAACAAAAAATATCGATAATAAATTAAATTTCCACCCAGAAAAACCTTCAAACGCGAACATTTCCCCATCGTAGGCTCATTTCTTTCAATTCTCTTACCTCTTCTGGTTGTATTCTTCAAATTTTTAGCTTTACAATGTATTAGGGGGCTTCGCTGGGGATTAATTCTTTATTTCCGTAGTCTATAGCTGAGACAATAAATGACGGGGGTTCTCTTGGCAAAAGTTCAATTCCAGCCCCGGCCGCCTTTTGGAGCATTCGTTTCTCAGGCAGTTTTTTGCGCAGTTCTCTTCAAAAAGCTTCAGAACACCAACTTTTCCAATCTTAAACTTTAAGCTTTAAAAAAGAATGAAAAAAGCTGCATGAGGCAAACTTGATTGAATGTTTTCTTTTGTATGTCTGCAAAATAATCAGTGTAAAAGCCGAATATTTTTATTTATTGTCGTCTATTTAAGCAAAGCGCTGGCAATATTTTCATTTCTTTTTGTTCCTTTGATCCCTGTTAAGCTTTTAAAATCTTAAAATTGCGATTTAACAGTCTATGCATTTCTTTTTGTTCCACAGCTTAATCATCACACATTTTTATTTCCAGAATGGGCGGAGGCGGTGGTCATGGACATGAGCCATTCAAAATCCCACACTACAGCATCTACGATAACTACAAGGCGTTTCCCGAGTTGGCCGGTAAACTTTAATGCTAGAAACTTTAAATGTTTGCTTTTAGCCCACGAGAAACGACTAGCACAATTGGGATTAAAAGATCCTTGGATTAGGTAAATCATTGTTTTTTTTATTTAGTTTTAACTTTCGATTTAGAAATTACACCTACTTATTCGATCGCGACTATGCTCACGTTTATGGACAATGGGCTCATCTCAAAAGGGTTAGTCTTGTTTTTGAAAAGTAAATTATTTGTTAAAATTTTGGGGTAACATTTAAGCCGACGTTTAACTTTTTCTCCCGGAGTTATAGTTAGTCAAAGTTTTGTCTATGTACTGTAACTTTAAAGTTGTAGTAAATTTACTTGAGTGCTTCATACTTGTTCTTTTAAATTCATTTCCTTTTAGTTGCTTCGACCCGGCTTCAAATGGGGAGTAGGGGCGGCAGCCGTGTTGATCGTGGCCGAGGAGCTTCACTCACTTTCGACGAAAGGCCACACAAGCTGGGCTGGACACCACTAGCAAGTAGAGCCATAAATAGTTTGTTTAGTGTATATAATTTTTTGCTACGATAAACGTTTTTCCCGAAAATCAAATGCAAAAATTTCTTCAAATTAAAAATAAAAATATGCTTGTTATTTAGTGGATTGTTATTAAATCAATATGTAAATAAATCTTCGTTCAACACAAACACGAGCTTATTTAAGGGAAAAGTATTAAGTTGCGTTTTTGCGAGCAAGAAAATTTTGGAAATTCTATTTGCTCAGCTGGCAAATTTCTATTCTTATGGAGGCCAGTGCCTTTTTTTCGTTAAGAGTTATATCAAAGGTCTAAATCTCCTTTTTACTGCCTCTTTGACTTTGATAAAGAGTCATCATCTCGGGCGGACCCTAGCTCGATTCAATATTTACTCTTGAGATCACAGACTCAGTCGGACTTGAAGTGTACACACATCGGCCCGTGTTATCCACTCGAGAATTCCCCGAAATTGTTTTGTCTCTTTTTGTTGTTTTGGCGTCTAAAGTTGCGTTGAATACTCAATTCAATTTAATTGCCCATTTATATCTTCCAATTTCCAATAATTGCGATTCCATTTTACCCTGCACAGCTGCTTATTCCGAGTTTGATCCTATTCAGAAAATTTGCGAGAAATCAGATTTCGGATCTTTTTGTCGTGAATTCGGGAACATTTACGTGATTGCTTCTCTTTGTTCCTTCAATTAGCTCCAGTAATTCGGCATCAAGGTTATCGACAGACTATTTTTAGCTTAAAAAACATTCCGAGCTATGTATTATGCCTCTTTCGGACGGAGTCAGCACTACGTCAATCATTTTTTACAACATCGAGCTATTCGTGCTTCTGGTGGCCAATTTTAGCTGTGTGCTTTTCTTGATTGTCTTAACCAAGGCAAAGTGTTTTCATATTGTAAGTTTTTGGATTTAAATGGATTAGATTTAAATCTTCAGCTATAGTAAAACAGAAGTTTTTCAAAAGCCTTTTTAGAATCTACGAATATTGCTGGCAAATTTCGCTTTCACTTTTCTATTGATCGTTATTACGAGGTATTTGATTGTGATTCCCTTGTGGGTGGCCTTCGTTTTCGATTTGGATATTGCAGGTTTGGTTATTGGATATTGTAAAGAATAAATCGGGGAAATTTTCGAGTAAATGATTTGAGAATTTTTTTTATAAATCTATTCCAGTCGAAAAATTTCTTATTTTAGATAAGAACTATTGCCGTTTCGCAAAATCTCTTCACGCCATCGCCGTCTATGTGACAGGACTTGGGCTTGCGGTTTTGGTGATCGGTAAGCAAGATTTATTTTGATCGTTTATAGATGTAAACAAAAATAAATGAAATTCTTTTTACAGAAAGAACTCTTGCCACGATACTCGTCCGGGTTTATGAAACGGTTAAATCGAGAGCTGTTGCGGTGGTGTTGGTGCTTTTTCAGGTATCAGATAAATTTTAAACAAAAACCATCGAGTTTAGTGGAGCTTTGGGACGATTTTCATCTTGGCCAATCAAATCGAGCCCAAGGAACAACAATATAAACGATTAGCGTGTCGAGTGAGTTGAAAATTAATCATGAAATATTTGTTTCTTAGGTCGAGTACACATCACCAAGAGCTCATTTCGTTTCACTGATAACGATCATTGTGATGGATGCTGTGGCCATGACTGTGAGTTTAAACATTAGCCGTTTCAGCTCAAAAATGTAAACACACCCTGGTGCAGTTATTTTCCGAGCCGTGCAAAGAATTGGTACAGAGTGTTTCCACTTTTGAGCTCAAAGTACACCCAGTGATTTTTCAATTTCAAAACAATTTAAGGTGTTCCTCTTGTTGTTGCGAATCAATCGAAAACACTATCAGATGCGCAATCAGCAACCGAAACATCCAAAACTTTCCGAGAGATATCAGGTGTGCTTAAAACATATACAGTACTGGACAATGAAATATGGATTTTGAAAAACGATCGTTACTTTCGCGCGTCTGTAACTCCGTTGTCTTTGAGTCTATAAACATATTAGTGTTTCATACATTTTCCGAAAGATCTATTTCCACAATTTTGAGGCTACACAATGGTAATATTCCAATAGCTAGAAATACGGTAAAGACACTATTGGGAGTTGTCCAGAATCGCGAAAGTTTGTCGATCGTTCCCTTTTAAACATGATTAACTTCGAACTTGCCCTTGGCGTAGTTACGTTAAATGGCTTTTGCTAAAAATTATCACTTTTCGAATCTACCGTAAACCGCTAGACTTCGATTTTAGACAGCCGAAAACGTTCGCTCGACTCGTTTGCTTTTCCCGTTGGTTCTCGTCTACTTGATCGTTTCTCTATTATCCGGTGGGATTCTTCTATTCGGCATTTTAAGTGTCGACAAATTTTCGAGGGATCTCCTAGCGTTTCAATTAAAATACGGTAACTAAAATCGGAATTTCCAACGAAATTTGCATTTTAGGTCCTCTATTCCAATCTTTCAATCTAATCATTGCCACCTATGCGGCCGTTTTTCCCTATTTGGCTATGCAAGGTCATCAATCTTTTTTCAACGCTTTCAAGGAGATCGTTTTTGGGAAAAGGGATACGGTAGGTGTCTAGGATAACAGATAGATACAGTAACCCTTATTTTTGGCTTAATGAGGCTTACTGTACCTTTCTACAACAGATAGATATCGTAACCCAACAAGTCTCAAAGATTTTCAGCCAAGGAATCCTCGAGAACTGGTCCCTTTGTCATTAGATGGACAACAGCTCGTCCCTCCATCGAATCAAGAGACTGAGATTCATTTCGCGAATTTGAAAGCGATGTGGAAATAGGAAATGAATTTTATTGATTTATTGTTATCTACTTGATCTCAATAAACATATCATTTTATTATAAAAAGAGCTTTTTAGTCCGGATAGAGTTTGGTTTCGAGACTTCATGAGACTCAAAAAAGTTTGAAATCAAAATTTATTCAGATCATGGGTGTAAATGAATGTATAGGTGAATAATGAAATAATTTTTTGAGATAAGTTTTTGTTATTCGTCTGGAGTTGTGGTGTCAGCTGGTGAATCGGCGATTGGAGTCGGTTGAATGGGATCGATTGCCGGAGTGAGAGTTGAGATCTATAATAAAGAAGTGAAGGGATTGGCAAGAAAACATAGATTTCTGGAGGGGGTTTAACGCTCGATCTTTTGTGCAATTGCTCTAACCACTGAGCTATCCAGTATCTTAACTCGTCAAGAGAAAAAAGGAAAGACAAGGGGGAAGAAAGGAAGGAAGGAAGGAAGGAAGAAAGAAGGAAACACAAAGGGAAAGATGAAAGGAAGAAGGAGAGAAAGGAAGAAGGAATTAACGGAAATTTAGGATTTAAAAGATCTAAAGCATAGATTTAAAGCATAACTTTTCTATTTGGCACTACTTTTATAGATAATCGGAGTTATTTTCAGTTTTCAGCTCTTTCAGCGACTGGAAAGTTCTTAAATCTTGTATCGTTACAGTAAAAATCGATGATTGTATGCTAAACATATTAATGTAGATTAGATTAAACTTAGATTAGCTAATAACAAAGCAGACTACTGTACTACTCGTTTACTTACGTTTACGGCGGATTACTGTACTATGGATCACTCGTTTACATCTTTAAAACCAACCAGTGATTCCTGGTTCACAAAATCGGTGGCTTTCAGCGGGGATTGTTGTAAAGCACTCTAGAAATCGTAATTGTTATCGAAATTTCTTATAAATCTTATAAATCTTATAGTTTCTTATCTTATAAATAGAATCTAACCCTTAAAAACTCTATCTTCAATTTTACCTGTTGCTGGAGATGGTTGAGAATGGCGTTAAAGTCGAAGTTCACTTGCTGTTGTTGTTGACTGTGCGAGCCGGGGATCACTGGCTAAAAGGGATTTAGAAATTTGCATATTCTAATTGAATGACTGTATCGAATGACTCGAAATCGAATGACTATATTTTTTGTTTCATGAAAATTTCACCTTAAACGGCGATCCCTCACTCGAGTCGCCAAATAGCGCTTTCGTGGGCGTGTTTTGGAGAGAGTTTCCGTTGATCGCTTGTAGTGTATTCAGCGGGTCCATTTCTTCCTGAAAATTGTCTTTTGTAGTCGAATTCAGTTTAGTACGGTAGCTATGATTGTAAAGTATCTTTTTCAGACCAACCTGTACACGTTTTACTTCGGAGAGATTCTTGACTCGTCTCAAGTAGGAAACACGATTATCGATTTGTCGGGAAAGACGCGGATTCGCCGGCAGACCCAAACGGCGCATCTAAATTGAATAAATAATACCTAATTGAACGCCATTTCCTCGTACAGTCGTGTAGTCTAATAGGATTTAGATTTTAGGTTTAAATTCAACTATAATTCTTTCACAAACCTCTTGCTCAATCCTCTCCTGTCGCATCTGAGTAGGCCAATCCTCGTGAAATGATTGATCAACGATTTCACGAATTGATCTAAAATTGAATTAATAAAATAAAGAAGAGATTTTCGAAAAGCTTTTGAAAATAGTTGTTCAATTTGAAGTGAATTCAATAAAGATTAGAGCTGCTTAACGGGTCTGAGCTTGTCTGAGCTTTCAGACAGTCTGCCTCGCTCTTCGATTTTTTATTGCTCAAAGCTTCTTCGAGCATGAAATCCAGTTCCCCCGCAAGCCCTTATTTTAGGCTTCATTTTAATACTAAACATGGCTAGGTTCTGTTTTGTCATTCTTTAGATTTCGATCAATCTTTTGCCGGACTCGATAAGCTTAACGAGTCCAGAAAATTTTTTATCTAAAATCATCGAAAACTAAAGAAAGCCGATTTTCGCCACTTTTCAATCATTTTTTCTAAGCGCTGGTTAATGCTAAAAATATGTGTTATATCACAAAAAAAATCATCCATCTTCTCTACTTTAATTTGATATCCAAGCGTGCAGAAACAAATGTACTGGTGTTGAGATATGAACGTTTGTTTGAGAATAAACTTCTTTCCCCATTAGCAATTCAACTTTGAACTCAAATTTCTTCGTCTTTATCTGTTTAATATAAATAATTTCTAAACCAATCGATAGAGAAAGAGAAAACGCATCCAATGATATTAATAATTTATAAATTGAACAACTGAACACCAAGAAATTTGAGCTTAAAGTTTGCCAATGGAAAAAAGCGGTATGAAATACCGATTTCGATTCGATACCGACTTGAACGACTCAAGTCGAAAAAGTCAAGCCTCAAGACTCAAGACGAGACTCAAAAAATGTCCTCAAGACTCAAAACTTGTCCTCAAGACTCACATTTGGACAACAAAGCAATCGAAGTAGAAATTCAATTTTTTCAACAGAAATTTTTTAAGGTATAACACATATTTTTAGCATTAACCAGCGCTTAGAACAAAATGATTGAAAATTATAAAAATCGGCTTTTTTTCCACCTTTCAATCATTTTTTCTAAGCGCTGGTTAATGCTAAAAATATGTGTTATATCACAAAAAAAATCGCCCATCCTCTCGACTTTAATTTGATACCCAAGCGCGCAGAAACAAACGTACTCGTGTCGAGATATGAGCGTTTGTTTGAGAGTAAACTGGGTACGCGGCGCCCCTATAGGGTGTCGCTCTATTACAGCATTTACGGTAAGATATTGAGGTAATAACAATCAAAACCCTTTAGGAAAACTATTTTGAATGTAAATTGAGGTGAAAGTAGTTTTAAAACGGACTTAGCCAGTCCCTGTGTCGGGATGGCGGCAAGATCGGATGAGTGCGAGTGTCCGCTTCGCTCCTCGACAATGTACCTGAAAATTTTTGGAATTATTTAAACAAAACAACAATATCTAAAGATTATAGAATATAATCTTCTTTAAAGATTATAGAATATAAGCTTTAAAAAGTTCTTTAAAGCTCTACAAACCATTCATTGATCCGCTTGACCCGGAGTCGGAAACGACACTTGAATTTGGCTCGATTTAGGCATTCGAAACTGAATTTTACTTCGAAAAAGAGCAAATAATTTGAATAAGTAATGTAAATTTGAAAATTTATATATGATTTCTATATGATTTTTAAAGAAAATCAAGAAACAAACTGCTCAAAACCATCGCCTTTTTTCTCAACGCGTGGCGCGGCAAAAAGTGAGTAGATCAATGCCTGAAAAGGGTTTTATTTTACAATAACTTGTAGCCTTATTCTAAAAAATTTAAGTATGCCAGAAAGCGTGCGTTTCTGTGGCTGGTTGTATTTTGTGCGATGACAGAAACGCTCGCTTCTTGCTGTATTTGGAAGCAGAAACACTCGCTTCTTGGCGCACTTGAAAGCAGAAAGGCTCGCTTTTTCTTCAAGAACAATAGAAGGGAATCCCGTCCATTGTTCTTCAAGGGATTTCGAAAAGTGAAACACTCAATGCGCCAGAAGGCTGGGGTTTACGTTAGCACAAAGTACATAAAGTTTCTCACGTCAAGCTCCTTTTGACTCTGCGTCGTGAAACACTGAAACCAGGCCTCGTTTTTTGAGCTGAAAGTTGGAAAGTTGGAAAGTTGGAAAGTTAGAAAGTTTACAAGTTACAATAATCTTATTAAAGCATAAATTTCTTTATTAAACCGTACTTGCAATCATTTTTTTCGTTGTTCAGTGAGTTGAGTAGCCCGTTTGGCATCGTGTTCTCATCGCCGAGCTGAGGAGACTAAAACTTGAGAATCGAGTTTGATATTAGCAGATCTAGACTAACACTATTATATATTCAATATTCAATAACTAATACTATATATATAATACTGTATATCTACTGACTACTATACACAAATTAACAAATTTTAAGACGCTAACCTGTAGCAAAGGATCAGTTGACTGCGATGAAGCGTCCTCGGATGAACAGGGCAAATCCGTTTCCTGAAAAAAAGATGCTCAAGTTCGATTACGGTAGCTTTATAAAATAGATGCCTTTTAGAAAACGCATTAGAAATCTCACCATCATCTCTGCATTTCCCATCGAAAGTCCGGGAATCACTGAGAAAAGAGTGCGCATCACGTTCTCCATTGATGGACCCAATTCGCCAAGCTGAAATTGAGGATATTGGATAATAAAGAAATTGGCTACTGAAGTGGATAACAATTAATACAATAGCCAAGATGTGGATACAGTTTTCTAATAGCCAGTCAGTATAGCTTAAAAACTGGCTCTCTCCTTGCCAAGCTCAAGCTGTACTTTGTCCTTTTTAGTAAACTATCGCTTTCCCGCGCACTGGATTCTTTACTTTCAGCGGTTCTAAACCCTTATGCCAGATATCGCGCGTTTTCCACTACAAGCCAGAGTTAGTACAAAGTACAAGCCAGATTCGAAGCCGTATAGGTGCAATATTGAAGCACTTAGTTGAGTTGAATTAGGGCAGATCAAAAACTTGCGCGCCACCGGGACCGGAACCCGCGACCTTTTGCTTACCGGGCAACTGCGCTAACCACTACACCACAACGCATTTGATCTCCCTTACTCCAGAGGAAGTTAGCTATTGCTTGAAAAAGTTCAAAAACTAACCGGTAAATTGAATGGATTCTCGACAATTGGAGAACTTTCGGTGGCCATTCTTGAAGGAAGAAAGACTGGAAAATGGAAATGAAGATTTATGAATGGAGAAAAGGTAGAATAAGCTTTAAAAACTGGTTTGGAAATGTGAAATTTAAAAACTTTGAAGCAGATCTTAAGTTCGAAAGAGACAATTAGAGAATCTACTGGGGAATTATTTGAATTTGAACAAATTGTTGAACATTTGATCTTTAGGCAATTATATCAAATTTGGGTAGTAATTTTGACAATTTATTTGAAACAAATCAGATTTCGATGTTTCGATATTTTGATAATTTATTCGAAAGACAAAAGCTCTAGATGAATATTGAAGAGAAAGGCAATGATAATTAGACTTAGGAAGAAGATAAAATGAGGAAAACAAGGTAAAACTCTCGCACCAATCAATCGATTACTGAAACGAATCCAGAGAGTTGGTGTGGGAGAAATAATTGAAGAGAAAAAGAAAAGAGGTGAAAAAAGAGAGAGCCCAGATATTTGCGTAATGCCTTGAGGGGTCAATCTTGAAAAAAAAGAGGGAAAAGGATGGACAGAGGTCATTCCCTCTTTTATGAAATCCCAATCTTTCTTCCGGGAGTCTTTTCTTTACACCAAAATGTCCAAATGGTTGTTATAACGTAGGATATTTGGATTTGGGTACGGTAAGTCACTTTATGTAACTATGTACAGTGTTGTATGTACACTACGTCAGTATGTACCAGTACTATAGCTCTATAATATATTATAACGGGCACTGTAGCTTGAGCACTATAATAGAGAAAAAAAGGAACCTAGTTAGAACAGCGCCGTCCATTTTAGGCCGTCCGTCAAAAAAAGGCCCAAAAACGTTCATTTCAGCGCCAATTTTCTGTGTAAACGTGATTTTAGTGTTTTTTTGTATGATTTCAAAGTTTTCACACGTTTGTTTGCGTTTCGGCAATAATAACAATAAAACTCAACAAAACAACAACAATTACTTAAAATGAACAAAAGCAGACAAAGATTTTAGATCCTCAATACGTGGTTTTCCTAATTTGAAGCGCGATTTTCCGTTGGGGAAGTGGCAAATGCTTCTGAGCGACAAGCATAAAAAGATTCTCCTTGAACATACTTGAAGCTAACTTCTTGAACTTCCAACAGTTTTATCGCCACAAACTGTGCTGAACATTTCGATGTGATATCCTAATAAAAAAATGTAAATGATGTCGCAAAAAAGATACCTTCAAATTAGCATGATGCTGTTTTGAACGAATGTGTTCATCTCTTTTTACAGCACCAAATGTGTCGGATGTAGCGGCAATACGCATCGATTTAGAACAAGTTTTCCGATGTAGCTACCCTCAAAATAAGTGTATAAATCTAAAAATTTGATAATATTATGTAATGCATATGTAAAAAAACCCAACCTTCATGGTTTCGTAGATATTCTTGAAAAAATGGAAGCCGTAGTAGTGAAGATTTGTATGACGGTCATAAACACCGTAAAAAGCATTAGCGATAGCAACCTTCATATCTAAATTTGTGTTGTAAATTATATGAATAAAAATCAGAAACAAAATAAAACAAAACTTTAATTCAATAAGAATTTGTTTAAGGATTTAAAGGGCTTGCGTAAAAAGCCCCATCTATAGACCAGAAAGTATTCTGTAAATAGCTATTTACCTTAAAGATAAAAAAGTTAGAATATAGTAAGATGTATAAGGAAAATTATTGACATAACAAGATTATTGATTCCCCAATCACTAACAAAATAACGAAGAGAATAAAACGTTACGTATTCGCAGCAAGAGTCGTTGAAATCGGCGACAAAGTAAAGCAATCAACTACGAATTTGCGGAATCAGTGGCTCCCAAAGATAAAAATCCATTCTTTTTAATCAGAAACCCAATATAAAAACCTAGAAAACAAAAAACAAAACGTTACCCTCTCGTTTGGCTCCAGTTGTGCCCCTTGTCGAGGATTCTTGATTGTAACCCAAACCTAAACAAAGAAATGTGTTACCTGTAAGCTAATTGTAAAAGAAAAATACAAAATAAGGCATTAAAAACACGAGATTTTGGGACATTTATCATAAAGGTAGCAAATTTCTACATTTTTCTCTAAAAAACGGACAACTCGAGTTAATTTTAATCGTTTTTATGCGCATGTGATGCGTATGGCCGTGCTCTAGGTGGTAATAGATGAAAAAAAGTACAAAAACATTAGCGAAACCATAAAAACATGCAAAAACAACGCGAGAATCAAGAATATTAAAATCTAGTTGCGCTAAAAATAACGTTTTTAAGCCTTTTTTGCGCGGCGCTGAAATGACTCGCGCTGAATCGTTGACCAAATGAACGGCGCTGATCCGTCTACACTGTTCTAACTAGGACCCAAAAAAAATTCAGAAAAAAAATGTTTTTCGAGACGTTTTCCTGTTAAATTTGAATTTCTGTCGCAATTTTAAGTGTTAATTTTTGCGCGACGTCTCATTCCAATTGACGTCGCCGCCATTAGGAGGTAGTCGATGGGAGCGCCGCGTCATCGTTTCTTTTTCATTTCCAAAACATTTGTTTTTGTCAGATTAATTGAAAGTGTTGTTTTACGCGATTTTGGAGGTGATTTTCGTTTTTTTTGATAATTTCCGTCATTTGATTTGCGCAACTCGTGAAAACTATCTTCTAAGTAGGCCAATCTTTATGATTTTGGTGTCATTTTGTTACACTTGTTGAGATCTAAATGGCGGAAATTAGCCTACCCCATGATTTTCCATGTTTCTTTACCGTACCCCTTGCGAGAATGTGTCAATTGTCTGCAAAATGGCGAACAACAAAAGAACGATCATTTCGGTTTCGGTCATTTTGGTGTCATTTTATAGATCTTAATAAGTACAACAAAATGTCACCAAAATCATAAAGATTGACACACTTAGAAGAAAGTTATGGCAAGTTGCGCAATTGAATGGCGAAAATTAGCTTACCCCCGATTTTGTGTTGAAATGAGAAAGCAATCTATTTCCATTTGAGAGAATCCGGAACTTTTTGTAGCCGGAACAATGAGGGCCAAAACTAACTTTAGGATGGTTTGGGGGAGTTGAATGGAACCAATGAAAGCAAGGCTTATCTTCTGGACCGTTACAAAATTATAACGGATGTGCTGTGCTGAAACGTGTACTGTAACGATACTGTACTTTAACGAGCACTGTAACTTACTGTACTTTACAAATAGTATGGTAACAAATACTGTAGCTTATTGTGTCAAGCATTGTACTTTTTTGTGGTGTTTATTTGAGCTTAAATCTTTGAAATTGAATTCTGACATAATGTTTATCGTTAGCATAATATGGTATACTTTGTTGTATAATATGGTATACTTTATCTTAAATCGTCATCACAATTTGTACGGGTGTTGTTTGAACGGGAGTGGTTGCTCGATCATTTTTTTCACTACTTTGACTTTCCACCGCAACAATTGTTGATAATGAAGAACCGGAAATGAAACGGAGACATGATTTCGGGAGAATTTGTCGAAGGACACCTTTCACTGTTTGATTTGTCGTCAAGAAGAGGATCTGAATGTGATTTGGTCAGTTTTTCAACTTCAACTGCTCTTTGTGACTTTGCAAGTCGTGTAAAGTAGAGTAACAAACAAGTTACTGTACCTTTTTGTGACTAGTTTATGACAAACTCGTCTGATATCATAAAACTATCATTTCCTAACTCTAAAATATCAAACCGGATTGATTGAATGATTGAGAATCGAGCAGACACTTCTTGAAATATTTAGTACCCATCGCACCCATGTGTCCGTTTTTAGCATCGGAGCTGTCACGGAAACCATTCTTGTAAGCTGGAAATTCGAATTTGAGTTTAATTATTGATATTATTAATTTTAAACTCACTTCCAAGAATACACTAATCGCGAGTGCTTGATAGAGCAACGCTATGTCGTTGTCCCCTTTTTGGTACATTGATCTCGTCCTAAAACATTTTAAGGATATAAAGCAAGAGCTGAATATCTAATTTCTAATATAATTACCTTTGTTTTCTTAAATTAATATAGATAATTAGATAAAAGACGAGATTTATCAATGGAAGGCAATAGAGAGACGCGGAAATGATGTTGATGAGAAGATCGTCGGATTGTGTTAAAAGGATATCGTCGAAGTTGAGGGTTTTCTGGAAAGGAAAGCAATTGGGGAAAATGAAAGAGCTACAGTAGCAAGGTGTTTTCTAAAATTCGTCTTTTTCAAAAAGCTATCGTAGTCTGTTTCTTCTTGAAATCAAGTCAGCTGTTTACAGTGTCCCTCAAATGATCCGTTTTTAACGTGTCACTCAAACTACCGTAATCTTTGCTTTAGTCTAAATCCAATCAATACGCAAAGGCAAAGGCCTCGATTTCTGGTTACAGAAGAAATTGAATGAAGTAGGTAAGCTTGATTACGAGAAAAAGTTTACATTAACTGTCTCACGTTTTAGAAAACGGACAGACAGACAGACAGACAAGCAGACAGACAGACAAACAGACAGACCGACAGACCGACAGACAGACAGACGGACAGACCGACAGGCAGACAGACAGACAGACCGACAGACAGACAGACAGACAGACAGACAGACAGACCGACAGTACAGACTGACAGACAGTACTTCGACAGTACTAAAAGTGTCAATTTGTAAAAACTATCGTACTCTACCTTATCTTAACACATTCACGAGAAAGTCATTTTTGTTTTGGCTGCCTGACAGACAGACAGCAAGGAACAGGCAGACAGTAGTGCAACAGTAGAATAGTACAAATAGACCGACCGACAAACCATTAACGCAGACACGCTGATTCGGAATCTGCTTTCTGTTTTTGCAAAATCACTTCCTATAAAAAGTTATACGTGTTTTAAGTTAAAGGGTGAAAAGACGAAAATTTCGAGCCGATGCCTTTATAACGATTTTTTTCCACGGGTCCCAAACATGACTAGATGGTGTAGTGGATAAAATGCTTGCATACAAAAAGAGCGGTCCGACTTTTCCCTCAAGTTCGATTTCTTCTTGGCAAAAATTTTCTTTTCCTCCAAATTTTCGCCTTTTCATTCTAAAACTTAAAACACGTATAACTTTTTATTGAAAGTGACTTTGCAAAAACGAAAAGCAGATTCGGAATGAGCGTGAAATGCTGTGTCGAATGATTGATGGTGAATCTCATTTGGGCACATCCTACTGTTGCCTTTTTCTCATATTTTAGTTGTATAGTTAATTGTAGAGCTGAAAATTTGTAACCGAAAGCATTCTGGGATATAGAATCTGAATTCGTTATTAGTTTTTGAGCAATTTTAATTCCCAAGCCAATACAATCGTCACAAAACTCTAAAACTTGGGCAATTAAGCTGAATAACTAAAAATAGAGAAGGCAATTAAACTGAATATCTTTAAAAACAAATAACGGAATCGAATTCCTCATCCTCGAAAACCTATCATTGGAAATTTTCAGCCCAATTCGCTTCAAAAATCAAACTCGAAACTTCTTTGAATGAAATCTTTCCTCTCACTCACTTTATTGAATCTTTTCGTCGTCCCAAATAGATATCGATAGGTGCAAATTGGAATTACAAAGAGAATCGTTAGCCAGATGACTTTTTTCACGTGATATCTGCAATCCCATGGGTTTATTTTCTTTTAAAAAATCAAACGTCGAAAAGATCTCTTGGAGTTGTTTCCAAACAAAAACAGCGAAACGATTGAGTGCCATGAGGAAAGTGAAATACATAATCGTTTGATCAGTGTAATCGATTAGGATGTTGCCTGAAGGGGATTTTGAGAGGACAATTTTGATTTAAAGCCATATCTTGACCATAATTGAATTTGAAAGGCTGGCTGAAGAGCTAGCTAAATACTTTCCAGGTATTACTGGACAATTAGAAGTCTAGAATAAGTTTTCATAGTGCCAATCCATTTGATTTTGATTTCATTCGATGCGGGAGAGGATTTCCTATCGATTGACACCAAAATAATATAGATTAGCTGACTATAAGCCTTTGAAAAGTGACCAAAAGTATCATCGACCTCTTTTTACCTAGAAAATCACACCAATAAATGTTGAAGAAATGACGCAGAGAATGATATGTTCGCTTTTTTCTCCTGCTGATATAGGGTACTAGATAGCTCAGTGGTTAGAGCAATAGTCTAGAGAGCGGGGGGTCTCGTGGAGGGCGAGGGTTCAATCCCCTTTGCGGAAATTTTTCTTTCAAGCCAAAGTCAACCCTCAAGTCTTTTTCTTTCTTTCACTTTTTTATCAATAACCACTCACCAATAGTTTGCCAAATCGCCCATGGGCCAGTTTCGGGCATATTTATCAACATACAAGGAAAGATGAAGAAGGCTTGAGTTACAATGTGAAGGAGATTGATTAGAGTGAGATACCAAACGATTGTGAAGAATGGGAACTGAAATGAGAAACTTTTGACAACCGATTTCGAATTATTACAAACGTTCACGAGCTGGTGGATTGAAATCTAGCTTTTCCCCAAACGCATCCTCTCTGGCGCACTTGATTCTGCATTTTTCCTCATCATTTTTATCGCAAAACAATGGAACCCAGTGTGCCAGAAAGGTCACGTTTACGTGTAAGCACAAAATACGCTTGCTATTTCAAAACTGACTCACCTCATCGAAAACTTTTCTCCCAATAATTTGCACGGCAAGGAAAAGCGTGACAGCGACAAATCCGATTACAGTAATCGTCCCATAAATGGTAATTGAAGTAAGAATGGCGGCAAATTCCGCATCGGCCACATCGAGATTTCCGACAGAATTGTCGAGATTCATTCAGAGATTACGGTAATTGGATGGGGCTTAAAATTATTATTTAAATGATTCGAAATTAGAAATTCGAATACAGTAGTCTCAAGGGAAAAAAAATGTAATCGCTGGTGACGTGGATTACGGTAATTTGGGCTGTAAATTTTCGATTTTGTGCTTTCGAAATCAAAATGACCAAGAAAGAGGTGAGAAATTCTTCTTTCATTAACTGAATTCCCAATGGAATTCATTTATTGAGCTGAATACAGAAAATTTTCAAAAAAAATCGATAATTCGTAGACATTCTTGTAAAATTTAATGAGAATCACAAGTCTGGAGTGAGCTAACGATTGGCCTTCGTGTACTTTGTGCTCGAAACTCTAGACACAACCTTTCTAGTGCACTGAATTCCTTCATTTTGCTGCACTGAATTCCTTCATTCCTTCAAAAGTGATCACGTGCATCAGAAGTGATGCGTTTGTAAATCCGAGCTCAAACTACACACAGAAGAGGTAGTTTTCAGAAAGAATTGTGTTCGAAAAGTGATGCGTGGTACACAAAAACTCGATGTACTTTGTGCTCGTGAAAACGTGCACTCTCTGGTACATTGATACGAAAAATACGGAGCCAAGTGTACCAGGAAGTGCGCGTTTGCGAGAGCACAAAGTGCACAAAGATATGCGACAGTAGCCGGTTCAGTTGTTCAAGTTTTAGCAAAAGAAAGCGAAAAATCAATTGAGTGTTGTAGAGAAGTGATTTTTTTTAAACTAAAAATTCAATTCGAAAGCAAAAAAAGTTTAAAAACAGACTTTTAAAATGAAAATAAAATCAAATGGCACCTTATAGAGCCAATTTTTCAAAAAAATAGTATACTTGGAGATCAATAACTTTTAAAAATCTGTACCCAAACTGCAAATTAAAATTTTGCGAATTTTCCTTCAATTAATTCTCAAGAGATTCAGAAGATGAAAACAAGAGATTCAGAAGATCAAAACGAAAAAGTTTTCCCAAAAAATATTGAATAAAAAAAAGGGAGTGGGACAAATGCGACCTTTTTTGCGCACCCGGACATTTGCGCACCTTTTTTTCCGCACCTTGCCCATTAGCGCACCTTTTTTCGCGTTTTAAAAAAGCTCTAAAAGGCTAATATTAACCAATTTCTATTCCAAAAGTTGTTTTTCTAGGTAATTTGAGGGCGTAGAATCGAAATTTTGAAATATCAGAGCTTCTTAAACCAATTTGAAAGATAAAACGGGTAGGTCAAATTGCAGAAAATTGTCGATTTTTCCCTTCGTATAGCTCCGTTCGTTTGCTTCCACAAGCTCTGATATGTCAAAATTTGGATTCTACGCCCTAAAATTACCCTAAAACAATTTTTGAAATAGAAATTATTTAATATTAGCTTTTTAGAACTTTTTAAAACGCGAAAAAGGGTGCGCTATTGGGTCGGGTGCGCAAAGAAAGGTAGCATTTGTTCCACTCCCCGTCTTTTGCGCACAACAGGCCCCGCCCACTAACTTCAAGCGCTAAAAGCTGCACCAAATGGCCCACATTGCTTCGATTGGGCCCAAATTTTTACAAATTTGTTGCGCTCGCCTAAAAATTTTAGAGTGACTTGAATTTTTTGTGCGCAAAAGACACAAAAAAAAGACGTCTTTTGCGCACAAAGCAAAAAACAACATGCTGTAAAAATGAATCGAAATTTTGACATATCAGAGCTTGTGGAAACAAACGGACGGAAATTATACAAAGAGAAAAATCGACAAATTTCTGTAATTTG